AGAATCAATAAGTCAAAAGGAGAATGCCAAAATGTTTAGCAATAGAAATAATGTATAATGAAACAGTACAAATATATACAGATGCATCAAAAGAATAAACTGGTAAAACTGGAGCGGCAGTGTACATTCCCATATAGGGCTAAAATACAAAAACAAACCTCAAATCACCTCTCCATTTACTCTGCTGAAATGATGGCTATTATAATACAATGGGTAAAGGAAGTCAGGCCAAATAAACCAGTGGTCTGTTCAGATTTAATGTCATCTCTGTTGAGTATTCAGAGTGGGAAATCCGCTTGCAGACAGGATCTTTTAAGTGAAATGCATCAGCTGATATTCCAAATAAGTCAACAAAGGACTCATAGTTTGTTTGCGTCCTAGCTCATTCTGGTATTAAGGGTAATGAGATGGTTGACAAGCTGGCAAAAGAAGCTATTAAATCAGATCAAATAGAAATACAAGTTCCTCTTAGCAAATCAGAAATCAAAACAATAATTAAAGATGATGTTAATAGACTATGGCAAGAGAAATGGGATGAGGAGGAGAACGGCAGGAGGAAACATGGTCACCAGATTAAGAATAGGACATACAGGGTTATGAAAATAAAGAAAATTATAGAAAACATTAAAATAAGATGTGTTCATATTGCAAAGAGCCAGAATCTGTAATGCATAATCTTGTCTTGTAAAAATATTGAGAAAAGAACATTTTTTAAAAAGTATTTAAGAACACCATGACATTAAAGCACATATTGAGTTTGTCTGGAACATATTCAACAGTTAACGAAGTTATACAGTTTTTGAAAAGAATATAGTTAGCAAATAGGATAATTGTTTTTTTAATGTATACTGTATACCCAAAGAACACATCTCAGTCCAAAAGGTGGCGGTAATGCTCTCAGTGTGCTATCTGCCAATAAAATACCACAGAAGAAGAAGAAAGTTTAGCGACAGAGCTCTTAGGATTTGTTTAGGTGCAGTAAGTAAGAACTTCAATTAATGCATTATTGGTGGAATCAAATGAAATGCCATTAAATTTACGTAGAATAAAGCTATCTGGTATATAGGATGTATATTAAAAGTTATGAGGGAGCTCATATTGCTAAGGAAATATTAAAAAGTTGTTAGGAGTATGTAAATAGAAAAGGAAGAGGGTTGGGATGGAACGCAAATCAATTGGCAGAAAAGTATCAAGTAGCAGATATAGAGTGTTGTATGTCTTCTAAAAGGGGAGAGATTCCAACACAGATATTTCCTGAGGTGAAAGTTGATCTGGAAATAATTGAAAAGTTGAGGGACTGGGAAGAGATGGGTGGGATAATTCCAAAAATTAAAAATCATGTACAAGAGAAGTTCTATGAAAGTTTACAAATATACACTGATGGATACATTCCAAAATTAAAAATAAGAATTTCAAAAAGATTAACAGATAAGTTATCAATTTATTCTATAGAAACAACTGCAATAATAATAGGACTAACATGGGTGGAAGAAATATGCCCTGAGAAGGTAGTTATGTGTTCTGATTCAGCATCAGCATTGTCATCTTTAATTACTTATAGATCAACCAGAGAAGATTTAATTTATTAAATATTCACAATTTTAAATCGTATACAAAAGAAAGGAGGGACAGTAGGGTTTTGCTGGATACCTGCGCATAAAGGAATATATGGAAATGAAATGGCTGATAAACTGGCAAAGGAAGCATTGAAAAGTAATACATTAGATATTAGGGTTCCCTTAGAAAAATGTGAAATTAAATCTATTATTAAAGAAAATATTAAGAAAGAATGGCAAGGAATCTGGGATAGAGATAAGAAGGGACGACATCTATACAAAATAAAAAAAATAGTAGAGACAAAAAGAAATGTGTATGGTAGGAACAGAAAGGAAGAAGTTATATTAACTAGACTGAGGCTTGGACACACTGGATTAAAATCAACTATGTCAATACTAGGAGTTACAGAAAATGATTTGTTTGATCACTGTGGAGTAAGAGAATGAATGCAGGAAATATATACAAGAGAGGAGGGAATTAACAGAATATTTAAGCAATAATGGACAGAAAGATAAAAACTTAGAATATATATTAGGGATAAACGTTAATAGGGATAGTTTAGGGTATAAGATATTAATACAACATCTATATAGCACAGGATTGAGCGAAAGACTATAATAAATAATTTGAATTAAAATGTATTAAGGACCCGGAGGGACTAAGACTGGAAGCAGGAGGAGCTGAACACGCAGTGCCAGCTGACAGCTGAGTCCTGATGGAGAAATTTAGGTAAGCATATTAGTGTATATAGATATAGATATGAACTGTAGGTGGCGGCATGTGCACATCACACCAGCCCGCCAATAAAACAAAAGAAGAAGAAGAAGAAGGTTTAGTGTAGCGTCACACAAAGTATAGGAAAATCATTGGCTGTTTCTCAATATGCGTTCTTCAGCGGTCTTGCGTCCTCGTGTTCTCGTGAAACGTCATCATCAGCTGCCTAAGTTCAGTTCCAATACTCAAGACCGCAAGTACGGAGGACGCGTGAAACTTCCCGGATGTGTTCTTGATATCGAGGACGCACCAATGCAGACTTCAGCAGCGAGCTCGCTCTGGAAGTCCCAGAAGTCATTGCGACTGGAGGTGGGAAGCGCAGCATTTTATTTAGATTTATTATTAAAGTTCAGAGATATCACTTATTTACCTCAGGAGTTTCCCTAAATGAAACGGTGTAAGTAAACATTAACATCAACATCTTAATAAAGGAATAAACACATTAAGGGTGTTTGGTTGATGAAATTCGTATTAAAATTTGTTTTATTTATATTGTGCAGAGTATATTTATAATGTTTTTATGCAAAGTATATATTTTGAAGAAGGGGGAAACAATAAATCGTTGTATGAAGGCTGTAATGTTTAAATAATTTCCATTTAAAACGCGTGAAGGTCACATGACCATCAGGAAGAACGCAGCATCCCATTTCTCAAAGGACGCGTTCTCTGCCCTCGCGGTCTCCTGAGTTCGTTCTTCCGAGGACACCTGGCAAGACCGCTCTCCACAAGAACGCAAGTCCATTCTCTGCGTTCTTGGAATTGAGAAACAGCCACCGTATGCAGATGATGGGGCACTATGGATTAGAGGTTGGAATGTGTCATTTGTACAAAAGAAAATACAGAATGCAATATTTGAGGTAGAAAAATGGGCAAATAAATGGGGATTCAAACTATCTGTTGCAAAAACTCAGGTCATCTGTTTCTCAAGACGGCATAAAACCATATCACTCGCTTTAAAACTATATGGACAACCACTAGAACAAGTAAAAACTGTAAGGTTTCTTGGGGTTTGGTTCGATGAAAAGCTGACATGGAAGGATCATCTGAATAAAATCATAGAAAAAAGTAAAAAGGTTATTAATGTACTTCGTTGCCTGTCAGGGCAAGAGTGGGGAGCGAGTAGAACATCACTACAAAATATATACTGGGCCCTCATGAGATCTGTCCTCGATTATGGATGTATAGCTTACATGTCGGCAGCAGAGTCAAACCTCAAAAATTAGATGTATTACAAGCGCAGGCCCTTAGAATCTGTAGTGGATCATTTAGAACCTCACCAGTTTCATCAATGCAGGTTGAAATGGGAGAAATGCCCTTAAGCATTAGGAGAATGAAATTGATGATGGCATATTGGGTTAACATTCAGGGACAAATTGAATCACATCCAACAAAAAGAACATTACTAGAATGTTGGGAGCATGAGGAAACTAATTTCATAAGTTTCGGATGGATAGCTGAGGCAAAAGCCAGAATAATTGGATTAGATCAACTGCAATACTGTAAGGCAGTCCCAATCCCATATATTCCGCCATGGTTTTTTCCATTACCTAAAGTAGATCTCAATATACAACAGGAGTTAAAAGATAACAATAATATTCTTCCAACAAAATATATAGTGCAGAATTATTTAGAAAAAAATTTTAAAGAATCAATATTTTTATTCACAGATGGATCTAAAGACCCACAAACAGGCCATACAGGCGCAGCAGTGTATATCCCAGTTAATCAATACCTTATTAAGAAAAGAATAACTAATAATATATCAGTATATACAACAGAGTTAATTGCAATACTAATTGCCCTGCAGTGGATTGAGGAGAATGACATATATAATGTAGTAATTGCATCAGATAGCTTTTCATCACTGGAAAGTATAAGATCTGGAAGGTCATCATACAGAATGGATATTCTTAATAATATACTCAGTAAGACATATTATATTAAAATGAAGGGCAAATCTGTATATTTCATTTGGGTTCCTGCTCACGTAGGTGTGGAAGGGAATGAGAAGGCAGACTTTCTGGCCAAACAAGCTCTCAGAATTAGTAAAGTAAATCTAGAAGTCCCATTGAGCAAAGCAGAAGCTAAAATCATGATAAGAATATATGCACAATCAATATGGCAAGTACACTGGGATAACATTGATACAGGTAGACATCTATATAATATACAGAAACAAGTTGGAACTGGGAGGAAGGAGAACAGAAATCGTAGGGAAGGAAGTATTATAACTCGGATGAGAATAGGTCACACTGGACTCAATCATACATTACATAAAATAGGGAAACACCCAACTGGGCAATGTATACACTGTAATCAACAAGAAACAATAGAACATATTTTATTTCACTGTAGTAAATATAATAAAGAACGAAACGATCTTATTCAGTCAGTTAAAAAGAGCAATCTTCAGTATTTTACATTGGCAGGTTTATTAGGAAACAAATCTAGTGAGGTATATAATGATATAATTAAATTTATTAAAGAAACCCAGTTAGAGGAAAGAATATAGAGATAATATCAGAAGAATTGTTAGTCCACCCCATCCCCAATTTTTATTAAATTTTATAACTATTATTAAAAAAGGTTTTTTTTTTTCTTTCCTTTCCTCTCTCCCCCTCCCCTCACAATTTCCTCCCCCTTTCTCTCCCTTCATGTAATTTATACACTTTAGAAAGTATTCAACTAGTTCCATACTCCATTCCAGTCGGTGGCGGTAATGCACCTATAAGTCTGGTTGCCAACCGCCAGTAAAACCCAAAGAAGAAGAAGAAGAAGAAGTGTAGCGTCACTTACATCCGCACTCGGTAGTTTTTTTGGAGACACCAGCCCGCCATTGCAATAATAAAAGAAGAAGAAGCTTCTCTGGACTTTACTGCGCTATCAAGTCAAATTAGATATCCATTACTAAAATTTGATTTAGAAAATAGCGAGGAAATGTAGTACTTGTAGTGACGCCACTGCCCAACGCTGGCTAAAGACGTTTCTCCAGGGCGGATTCTAAAATCTGTGACTTCTTGAAGTTAATTCTATGTGAGGTAGGTTTTAAATAGTAGTATATATTGAATGCCATGTGGAATGTAATAAGTTTGTCTTATTTGGACTTTGGACATTTACCCCGACCTCTTAGACTTGGACTGTTTTGCAATTACGTGATTCTGGTCAAAAATTAAGTGGAACACAGAGGAAAGTCCGATCTAGAAAAATAGAAAATAACCACATATGTTGGGCATGATCCGTTAATTTCGAAAAGAACCGAGTTTTCTGCTGAAATCAAATATATTATCCTGCCTGGACCTGGCATCGAGCCGGTAGGCCTATTCCTACCTAAAAGCTATTACATGAAAAAATACTACAGTAATGACTAGATCAGGGGTTCTCAAACTTTTTTTCACCAAGTACCACCTCAGAAAAAAAAATGTGTCTCCAAGTACCACCATAATGACCAGTATTGAAATACAGCAGCGTAGTAGGTCTAATTAGCTACAGCTGTGCACAGATCAAAAATGAGGCAGATTAATTCTTCTTATTAAGAATATGTATTATTGTCAGCCACTTTAAGCATTATATGGGTTATTCTCACGAAACCAGTAAAACAATGTGGCACTTAAGATTTTAAATATAAAACTTAGTAATTTGTTAACAAAAACATTATAATAAAGACAACGCTGTTCTCTACGAAGCACAATGTGTAATTTCAACAAAATTTATTTATTTTTAATCATTTTACTGCATTTTCTACTGAAATTCTCATTACAGAAACGTGTCCACATGCCTGTTTGAACGTGTGTTATGTTGTAATTTAAACAAATTAGCAAAAAAATTTCTTTTGAATAAAAACAAATGAATTGTTTTAATAGATTATCTTGCATGACAAAACAAATAGTTTACATATTATTCATGTATAATGACAATTAGAAAAAAATAAAAAATGATGTGTCCGTGACAGATGTTCTCATCCTCCGCAACCATTTTAAAGTGCTGTTTAAACACACATAAAGTGTTTAAATAAAGTTTAATTTTGTATATAGAAGCACATGGGCCAGTTGTTTTAAGATGACTGCCAGGAAAGAAAATCTTTTATATTTCTTCAGGTAAATGAAAAAATTTTCTCCTGTCAAAATGGTTACACGACTTTTTGATTATCATTACCGAAACAGGAAGTTTTCTACATTAACATAATTGTTAGATTTACAAATTTTTATGAAAACAAACTTTTTTAAAGTCTTAATTATATGCACTGAGATTTTTTTTTTTAAATCATCATAGTTTCCTTATTATTTGCAAAACATATTGAGACACCTCATTCTCCGCAACACTTTTCTCATATACCGTAACCATTTAGGGACAGTTGCGGTAGAGAGAACATGTGTTTCGGGAATGAGAATTTAAGTAAAATTGCATCCTAAATTCAAATGATCTCTGCGCAGCCACATTAACAGTGTAAGCAAAGCACTGCCTCGCATACGAGGGCTTAAACGGAGCAGTGCTCGTAATGTTGAACGATAAAAAAGTGTTTCCTCACGTTCTTCGGTGGGGGGGGGTAGGGGTTGGGGGCCGCGTGATTAGGGGGCCCCTTGTCATCGCGATTTTCAATAATTGAAAATCCAGGAACCGCAATAATCAAACTCTTGGGAACAACTCCTCTCAAGCGGTGGACTAGTTCTGATTGCTTGCCGCAGAACCGCGTCATAGCCAATGAAGACGTTCCGCTGTTTCTCGCTGGTGGTTCTCGTTAAAAAATGAATGATTTCTGGCTACTTTGAGGCTCTCGCCGCTTTCGGTTTGTGATCGCTCCTCAGTTTGTGAAGGATTCCCCGTGTTGTCGCTCCACCCCGCCTCCTTTCCCCGCTCCTCAATTTGTGACAGATATATATACACTAGATCTCGCATAGGGACCCTGAGCATGCGTCAATAGCACCGCCACATTGGTACAGTGCTCCCAGGACAAATGTCATTCAACCTCACTAGTCAAGACAGTGTTATTACGTGAAGATGCGGGACTTTAGCGCTGTCTACAGGTGTAGTAACGAGCAAACAAAGAAAACAAAGCACAAAGGCAGAACATTTCATAGGTAACATTAAGTTTTTTTCTGTTTTTGTATGTTCTGAACTTTTGTGCTAATCAGGTCACGTTATTGATGATAACAGTCACTTACTGCATTCACCATACGGCAAAGCAGCTCCAACTCGCACTAAACACTCGGCTTATGCTAGTTTTGTTGAATAAAACCAGCAAACAATGCAAAAGAAATATGACAACGAGATGCTGCGCTGCCAGAAACTTGTATTATTGTCGGCTAACGTTAGTGAAAGAGTCGTTCATAATGGAGATTCATTCACAAACGAATCGCTCTCTCCGTCAGTATGAGCAGTGAAAGCAGGAGAGGAGCTGTGTTTCAGGACATGATTAGATTAAATTTAACAGGGAGGGTGAATATATATGTGTACATGTGTACACAACCCCCCCCCTTCAACTGGGGGCCCCGTCGGCGAATCCTGCAGGGGGGCCTCCGCATTTTGCGCTACGCCACTGAACATGGTTACTTACTGAGTTAGGCCTATTAATGCACAGCACATGAAGAAAGGACGGACTTTGAAGGAATAAACAATGTGGGGAGAGCTCCATTATAGTGCACTGGACGAGTCTGATCATGTTCCTCCTACGCATGCGCTAGGCAGACAGTTCTGTACAGTTACGTAATTTATCGGCTTAAAGATATCTGCCTAATTTAGGGTGCTTTAACACCTACACTTTTGTATCGGAACCTGTCACGTTTTCCCAGTTAGCGCGGTTCGTTTGGCATATGTGAATCCAGCAATCACACTCGGATCCGCGCCACAACAATCGCTCCAAGATCGCTTGAATGAGGTGGTCTCGGCTCGATTGAAACGAACTCTGGAGCAGATCGATTGTAGTGAGAAAGCAAACGATCCGAGTGCGGTTATATCACAGTGTTTTAATAGGCATACGGCTAAATGAAGAGAGAATTATGAGTAGGGCGGGAAGTCCAGACAACCCAAATCTCCTGGAAGTTTCAGGAGTCTCTCGCAAATGCACAGAGTCTCCCGGATGCCCACAAACGAGCCTCCCCGTCCTCAAATACGTCACTCACCTTTCTCACCCCTCCCCACCGCATCTATTCTCGCTCTTCAGGCATGTCACGCACTTTGTCAATCACCACCAAACCACCAACATCCCTAACAGCTGAGTGGGACTCTGCAAAATAAACCGTGAGACTCTGACCAATGTGAGGAGAGTTTACTCACAAGTGACTTGTTTTAGCTTTTTTAGTCGTTTAGGAACTTTGCAGTGTGAAAGCGAACCACACCAAGATCAAAGAGCAACAATCTAACCATTTTAATTCCTCTTTCGGAACAACTGAATCGATTCACAGATGTGAAAGCACCCATAGACATCGGATCGATAACGATAATCTTAAAAATAGCATTTGTCAGCTGATAACGATATGGCCGCCAATATATCGTGCTTCCCTAAATATGGCAAATATTAAAATGAATATTATCTGTATTTAGATGCATAAAGGAGTTAATAACTTACTTGTGTTTCCTGAAACAAAGTTAAACCAATTTTACATCATGTCCTTAACTGACAATTCTCCTTTTTCAAGTTCATTCATCATTTGTGGATGCAAAGATTCTGAAGTAGGTGGATGTGAATTTTCAAAGTGCAGCCTAAAATCATAAATTCACGTTAAAGGTTTGTTTTTAGCTCAAAGGTCAGTGACCGTCTCAGGCTAAAATGGCAAAACTACTTTGTAAATGCTAATATAATATACTAGGATCTATTTCTCAACCTTACCTTTAAAAAGTCATCCTCACTTGCAATCTGTAAGTAAAAAAAACAAACAACAAATCTAACTGGAGCACTGTCAATGCACAATTAATTTGCTTGCTGTACAGCTCTGCTCATAGGTTTACCTAGGGCTGGGCGATTTGGCAAAAAAAAAAATCTAGGTTTTTTATAAAGTTTGACCGATTCACGATTTTGATTTTTTTTATTGTGTTACTAGTCTTCTCAAAACATTACAACAACATGACTAAAGTAACATTTTCTTTAAAAGTAACTTGAAAAACCATCTGGTTAAACAACATTGTATTTTTAATGGTCATGTCATACAAAAATCGGTCAAGTTGTAGATAAATGTAAAACAAATTCACGAGTTAAATAGTGTTGCTGATGATTTGAATAAGAAATATTTGTGTAAATATTGCAGTTGCAGGAATACAGAGGTATTTTTTGCTAGTTTTGCTGAGCCTAGGAAAGATTGGCTGTCAGCTCAGCTTTATCTTTGTCTTCTTCTGATTGAATGTCAGGTTGTAATGCTGCTGCCTTTTTCTTAAAAAGACACAGTGGAAGAAAAGGACTGAACATGGAAACTGTAAAGCCTAATTTAACCCAATGTGTGAAGTTGTTGACGTATCTCAGGAGCAAAAACAAGCATCAGATGTGTGTCTAATATAAAATAATATATTAAATCTATTTTTCTTTTTTTCCTCTTTTAAATATCGATCATTTGATGCGCTTTGCTCCACTCTCTGTATTATGCTGGCTGATCTGTCTGGTTTTCAACTAGGTCCGCTAAATGACGTCATGGGGGCGGCTACTTTCATTTTTACTGCTGCAGGCCCTCACCTCTACTCGTGTTCAAACCAAAAGATTGGCGTGGTTTTTCACATGGCAGGATTTTCGTCCTTCAAACATGTTGAGATCGAGTTTATCGACTTGATGAGGGAATGTCTTGACAATCCACAAAAACTTGACTCAGACTAATGCAACAAGTAAAATCCTACATGACTTCACGCTTTAACAGGCATTCAAGCAGGTCGCACACCAGAAGCGCCGCGACACGGCGCGGACATAAAAGTTTAAACTATCACACACCAAACCCGCACATTCACATGATATTTAACATGAAACTAATAATCAGATGGCGCTCTGTGGCGCGGCTGAAATATGACCTGCCTCCTGAATTGTGGTGCTGCGCCGTGCAGCCCGTCGCCGAGAGGCGCTTCGGGTGTGCTTCCTGCTTCATACAGAGTGAACCAAAGCGCATTAAAAATCGCGATTTCTCGATTTGATTCTAAATTAAATCGTCTGAAAACGTAAGTTGGAATTAATCGGAAAAATCGGCCAGCCCTAGGTTTACCCCTTGCAAATTTGGCAGGATGATAATTATTATAACAAAATAAAAGAGATCATAAAAATTGTGCTTTTAGCATTATCTGAAATCATTTATTCCACATATTAGATGCTTAAATATACTCAAACCAAAAAAATATTTATAATATGACCATTTTCAAAATTTTACATGTCCCTGAGTCTTAAAACCATCTGCTAATGGATGAACCTCAACTGTTTCTGTTTAGTGATGACTGTTTGAGTCATTTGTGCCAAGCAGTTAAACTGCTACTTGATAAATAAGATTTTCAAATCCTCCAGCTTACACCTTTACTACTGTAAACATATACATATTTGAGCAATCTTTTCATACAGGGGACAACTGAGAAACTCACAGACAACTACAAAAGGTAAAAACTTTATGAATTGGATGATTGTTATTAAGATTAATAGTCTCAAGCAATTGTAAATGTTGTCACCTTTTGTGATAGCTGTATTTTAGTCCCTCAGTTGTCATTAATGTGAAAAGATGGATATTTTGGAATGGCATCAATCAATTATGCCTAAAACAATCATGGGTCATTCAGAATTCAACACAGTATTAAATTTCGAGGAAGATGGAAACATTTGAAGAGCAATGTTTTCAGAGATGGTTATTGTGTCTTGTGAATTATATGTAAACATCTATTTTTCTAATAGTTTTTTAGGGCTGTGCTAAATTAATTATTTAAACATGTATAACTGCTTTAGTTTTGTACAAATATTAAGCTTTAGTTTATTTTTAAAAAGGTTTTTTTTAAACAAAAGAGCAGAGTTGTATGTGATATTTAGTTACAAAACCTATAAGCAATAGCCCACAAATCAAGACATTGTTCACACTTTACAATATGGTTTCATTACTTAATGTTAATGTATTTACTAACCTGAATTAAGAGAGAACAACACCTGAATAGCATTTTAAAAACCTTAGTTCAGCATTTACTAATGCAGGGCTCGAAATTAACTTTCTTACTTGGTAGCACCGGTGCTCCCAACCTGCAACATTTAGGAGCACCAGAAAAAATTTAGGAGCACCCACCAAAAATTAATGATATTGACAAGTTGTATATTAAGGCATTTATTGTGTTTGAAAACAGCATCATTTGGGACTACCAAAACCCAGAAACAATTATCTAACTAATGCTGTGATGATTTAATATTTGTGCAATATTTCCAAAATTAATGTTGAATAATTATAAAATATTAATGATGACGATGATGACAATAATACTAACAATAAATCATATTTCTCATCATCATGCTGCCTTGAATGTGCTTTAATGTAAGTTATCTGCTATATAAAGTCCTGCTGTTACTCTATGGAAAATAAATTGATGGTTTGCATCAAACACAAATGAAGCATTGCAGTAAGAAATATTTATTTTGTACTGCTGTTTTTATATGCATGTCAATTTAATAAATACTAGCCTATTTCTGCTACAAAACAAACAAAATATTATAATAAGTCATTCAATTCGATGCTGAAAGGTGCAAAGCCATCATCAATAATTAAATAGAAAAATAATAAACACCTCAAGAAAGAGCGGACAAAAGAAAGGAGAAAAAGTCTCACTTTTAAAAGTTTTGGTTTCGGTTCTTGTCGTTTTAATGCTCAGCTTTGTTACGCTCTGAATTTCATTTTTCTGTGTTTGTGGAAAAGCATGCGAGTCAGCCGGACCAATATGAGGGGGGCAGAGCAGGATTCTCCCAATAACCACCGTCGCAATACTGTTCCTTGTTATAACCCGCATCAGGTTAAACTCAGTAAAGGCAAGCTTCTTTGGCGATGGTGTTTTAGCGGACATTTGCGCTGTTGCAGCCTGATCTCACGAGGAAACGTATGAAAAAGTTACGAATTGCCGTGAGATTGTGTTGGCTGAACACGCAGTGCATGCAACGCATCAAGTTTCAGTGTACTTTTCACTCTTCAGCCGTTTGCATTCCCCGCGGTCACAAAAGCTCACACAAGTGGTGCTCGCTGCAGAGCCATCCAAAAGCTCCCTCCTTGTCATCTGACAGCGGAAAGTCTTGAGTGATTGACAGCTAATATGAACCAATATAGCGGCAGGGAAGAGCAATTCAGCACGTTTTTAGAATAAAGAAAAAAAAACAGGTCGCACTCCAACCTTAATATTCAGTCGCACGAATGCTCCCAATATATATTATGAGGTCGCATAGCTTAAATTTCGGGCGCATATGCGACCAAAATGGTCGCTATTTCGAGCCCTGTAATGCATTAATAAAATTCAAATTAGTGGTTGTTAACATTAGTTAATGCAAGAACTAATAATAAAGAACAACTTTTTTCATGAATTAAATTAATAATTTAATAATAAATAATTAATGTTAACAATTTTAAAGGCACTTGACCATTTGAATCTCTGTGATAAGTCCTGTAAGCATCAAAGAATATGAGAAGAGAGCCAGGTTACTGGATGGATATAAGACAATTGCATTATACGTTATCTCATTGCGCAATTACACGGGGCTTCAGTGTCAGCACTTGACAGAGGGCGTGTCTGAAGTTGGGGCTGACGCGATCGTCATAGCAGCGTCAGCCAATGAAATTAGTCAGCAATCAGCTACTGCCTGAGCTGGTGTATTTGCATACAGCGATCTGATTGGTTGACGCTTCCGTCGGTGCTTAAAGTTGAGCAAGTCCCAACAGCAACACTTGACGTCACCTATTCAAAGTGAATGGGAAGCGTTGACGCCCCTTGTGAATGGGCCTTCGTGGTGTAAAAAAAATCATGAAGCAACCTCATCATTCTCCATTAACTGCCCATATTGATCTTTTGTTGACCTTGGTAATTTTTAGCCTAAAAGCCTGTTTCACACTGCACGCGTGTTTTGTCGGTGTCCATGTTAACAGCGCTTTCATACTGCACACAGAAGCAGTGCGGAGCTTGAGCTAGCAGTGCTCGTCAATGTATGCTTGCAGCAAATGCTCTGCCTGCATGCTGCTCTCGCATGCAATATGAAACAGACATTAGGCGTTAATATGCATCACACAGTCGTAAACATATCATGAATTATATGTGTCCATTCAACATAAACATATAATTCAACGTAAACATATCATGATTTGTGTGTCCATTCAAATTTGATTATTCTGAAATGAGTGTCCTCACATTGCCCTGTAAGTTAATCTAATGTATGGTTTAACGTTAGTTTCTGCAGTTTGAGTGAAGATGATAAAGACGACAAATATTGTCTCACAAAATTGCGCAGGACTCATTGTAAAACTATGACAAAATATAACTTTAATTTTGCACTGCACATGGCTGAATCACTAACATTAAATAATGCCACAGTTAAGACCATTGAGGTAACGCATCTTTCTCCTTGGAAATAGCCTACAATGTGTAACTTGGCTGACAAAACTGTGACGTTACAAGAAAGCAAGAAAACGTTTAAAAGTAGAATAAATATACTGAAGTAGTTCGCTGAGCTTGCTCAAAGGATTAAACAAAGAATATTTTTAAAGTCTCACAAAAGAGCCTCCACACACACAAACACACTGTTCTATTGGAGACGTGCTGTTTAAATGCCCACGACTTTACACGTCCTCCAATCACTGAGTAGTTCATAAATGACAGCAGGTGACGTTCATCATCTCCTTTAGGGTGTAGCAGTGAAAGAAAGAAAGAAAATACAAAACAGAAACAAATACGTCCTGGGACGTAACACCTGGGAATAATTGTCTGTCAGCCGTTGTTTTTTTTTTTTCCTCTTGACTCTTCTGCACCACGGCTGCAGAGGATGAGCCATGTGCCACAACGGCTACATTTGAATCTTGAGGGGGGAAATGTGCCGGGTTTTCCGTTCAGATGCCTGAGTTTTATTTTATTTCCAATTTCACAGAGACAGATATGCATTTTTCATAGAGTTAATAGAGTCAAGTTAACACAAAAAACAGAATTATTCATTCATTATTATTCATTAAAACTCGTTTGTTTTGGTTCTGCATAACTGAATCAGTTTCTGAGTTAAACTAACTCATTTTATTTAGTGACTTTCACTGTTAGGTTTTATAGTGTACTAGTTGTATGTACAACAATCCAAATTTATTACTTTTGTTTCACAGATTTGTATATATTTTTTTATAATTTTAGTTTTTACTAATATAAACATATGTATGGTGGATGCTAATCTTTGTGTGTGCCAAACATACTTTTTTAAATTTAATTTTTTACATATAATTGTCTTGCAGGACATCTTAAATATGGAGGAAGTGAATAAAGGTCTGAGTTTGGTGCTGCTGGGGAAAACTGGAGTGGGAAAAAGTGCAACAGGAAACACAATACTTGGACGACAAGCTTTCAAATCAGAGAAGAGTGGATCTTCTGTCACAAAAGATGTGCTGGAGGAATCTGGAATAGTCTGCGGGTTTCCAGTCACTGTTTATGATACACCAGGATTATATGACACTGAGCTGGAAGAGCAAGAGATCCAGCAGAAATGTCAGAGTGTTTTTCAGAAATGCGATTCAGAACTTTGTGCTTTTTGTCTTGTCATCAAAGTTGACAGATTTACAGCTGAAGAGAGAAGAACTGTGGAGAAGATTGAGAAAATGCTGGGACAAACCCGCTTGGAGAAAACCTGGATTCTCTTCACCAGAGGAGACGAACTGGAAGATGAAAACAAGACATTAGAAAAATTCATCAGTGAGACTGAAGAGCTGAAGACACTCGTTCAGAAATATGACCAACGATACCATCTGTTCAACAACAAGAAGAAAAGATGTACTGGACAAGTTAAAGACCTGCTTATTAAAATTCTCAAGACATGTCTAAAGAAAGTCGGTGAGTATATTTACTTTTATACAGTATAAAAACTTTCCTCCACATCTTTAAGCACATCAGTAGATTTGTGCTTTAAATTTTTTGTGTTCAGAATTTAAAATGGAAACAAAGCTTTAGAAAATTGGTAAATTGATTTTTCATTCAATGAACAATGTAAGAAACAGAATCATAAGATTTAAAAGAAAAGGTGGTGTATCTGGAATTGCTCACTAATAATAATAACTGATTTGGCATTTCAGAAAAACTTAGAAATTTTCAGAATTTGCTTGAATTTTTGCAAAAGTAATTAAACAACAATTATTGACACATTTGATGACTCAAAAGGGTATAATTGTTCAAAACACATTGTTTTATTTTGAAAAAGTAAACCTAACTAGGTTTTTAAGTATTATTTCTGTAAAGGCTAGGAAGTAGGGCTGCACGATATTGGAAAAAATTGACATTGCGATATTTTTTTCCCTGCGATATATATTGCGATATTTTATATATATATATATATACTTAAGACTAGGGCTGTGACGGTCACCGAGACAACCGCGTCACCGCCGTGGTCAGTTGCCACCGCCGTCGTCCATTGCCACCGGCTGTAGTACGTGACGTCACGCACTTTAAAACACAAATTTCTGTAAGTATTACATATCTGTTAGAATATAACATTAGGCACGATTCAGCAAGTTCAAGTTCAACCATGAATCTTGTTAGAAAACGAAATCTTATATCTGGGAACATTTTGGATTCGTGCCGACCGAGAAAGGTGAACGAATTAATTTGGATTAAGCTTTTTGTATGGGGGTTTTTAAGTGTTAAAGTGTGTTTTAATATTCACTGCTGAGAGTCCAAACACTGAAGAGCAAATCCATCGATACGCAGATCCACGGGTCCCGAATCATGCAAGCCAGTGGCGATTGACGGCGAGGGAAAAAAGCCATGTAGGCTTAATCAACTCCTGTCTTCTAAATGCAAAAGCCAGCTCAGCCAGGCATGGCAGAGGCATTTGCAAAAATGGCCAGATACAAAAGAGAAAGTGATAAATGGAAGACATTGACGAGAAATGGAGCAACATATTTGGTAACTAGTTAAGAACGCGCCGCTCCGCAGCGTAGAGAAACCTGCGTTGCGAGTAATGCGGGCAGCGGAACAGAAGCAGAAGCCCTCTCTCGCATGGTTGTGAAAAAGTAGCCTGTCTGTGCATTTTCGCTACAAGCACACCGTCTGACAGAGTATTGCTGGAAACATTATAACCCCATTCTTCACTTAAACCGGACAAAGTCAACATGTTAGTTTTTCTGGCAAATAATTTGAAATATGACTACAAAAGTTGGAGAGAAACTACGCTGTTTTTTTAAACATCTGACTTATATTGGTACTAGGTTAATATTTTCTTTTTACTTATAATTATTAATATTTATATTATTATTACACTGATTAGTAAAGTGCCATTTAGACTATTTGTTAAGTTCTTTAAAAAATGTCACGTTTAATTGTTATTATTATACAGTTTCAAGCAGTTAAAGTTATTTAATATTTAACTACAATATTTATAAACAGTTTTGTGTTGTTTTTTTAACGAAAGTTCAAAAATAAACACGTATGCCTACGTTTATACGGATGTTTTTTTTATTAATATTTAATTAAGTTAAGTTATTCCTTAATTTTTACATAAAAGGTCAATTAATTTAGGTAGGCTACTTTATTTGTTGATGTACGAGATCGAGGAACATGTTTGCCAGTAAATAATGCTCTCACCACTTTAAATGTGTCTCTGCTAAAATTAATTTAACGACAAATTTCTTTAGCATTTTTTCCCCTTTAGAGATCAAAAGAGCTGTATTTAAAGAATTATTTAACTAAAACATGAATTGAATGGCCAGTTCTTTCCCGTGTGAGTTTAGTGCGCCTCCGCGTCTGTGTTTTAAAGGTTACAGGTGCACCCTGACCTGACGCGGGGACCAGATCTCTGCACTATTGCTTTAATTTCACAATTTTTTATAACTGAATTGCATTTTCATTTGGTAAAATATCAATTTATGTTCTGAAAGTAGTAGTAATGACGGGAGTGTTAGTAATTAATGACAGAAAGAACTTTCACTTTTGAGTGAACTTCTGTCACGTGTTATTTTAGTATGATGAAAAAAAAATATTTAACAAAAATAGTAATGCAGTATTTTTCGCTCTGCCAAGCCTTCTTTGTTGCTGTTGTGGAACAGCAGCATGCTTCAGTTACCTTTTATCCCCGGCCCCAACCTGCCTCCGACTCCTGAACATCTCACTCACTCACTCACTCATGCCGGCATGCACTGCGGTCTCATGAGGAAACATAGCTTTTTGATATAATGTTTTTCTTGTTCCCCGAATACACATCATTTTTCAAGGATTTGTTTGAAATAAGTATTGGTAAAAACACGCTATTCGTGCTTATCCGAATACCGTATTCAGGTTCTGCTCCACCCATAATACATATAGCCTATATATATAATTTTTTTTTTTTTTTTCCATTGCACCCTCCTGCGATGTGACTATCGCGGATGCGCACATCGCGATTTCGATGCTGAAACGATGTATCGTGCAGCCCTACTAGGAAGACAAAATGGATATTTCTGTAGAATAACCCAGGAATAAATTAACGCAGAAGAAAACTTGATCAAACCATCTTTTGTCATCTGTAAATGAGTAGTTCTCATGGTTAACTCTCCCTCAAGTGTTTTTCAAACGTTTGAGTTTACACAAAACAAGATATTTTAAAGAAAGCTGGAAACCTGAAGACATTATAATAGGGAAAAAATACTATGAAAGTCAATGGTAACTGGTTTCTAACATTCTTCAAAGTATCTTTTACTTGTGTCAAACCTTTAAGTTTCTTCATTCTGTTGAACTCAACTGAAGATGAGTAAAAATTACAGTTTTGGGTAAACTGTACCTTAAATTCATTGTTAAAAAAGACATGATCTACCTTGCTGTTTTAGAATAATGTGAAATAAAAAAAGTTATCTATAATAAGCTCATGGTGGAAAACAGGCTAACAATAATCAATAATAATAATAATCAGTTATTAATATTCCTCTGTCCTCTCTCTTCTGTGACCTTCAAAAATGATCTGTGACATAATAATATGATAAATAATTAAAAAAAACAAACTTTACAACAGTGCACACTGCTTACAAAATCTATAGTCATTTTGTAAAATAGTCAGATTTTTATCAGGACATTACTTTAGATTGCATGTCTCTAAATGGCATCTTGCAAGAAAGATGGAAGGGTACAATGTATAAAACTATATTGTTCATATCTGTTGTTTTAAAACTTTTAAAATCACATTTTAGGGATGTTTAGTGTTCTAATATAGCAAAATTACCATTCAAATTTTTATAAATTACTAGTGGGGGAAAAGTGCATTTCATTTCCACATTGGCACATTTGCTTTAACATTTACCAAACAAAATTACAATTACTAAATCTAACAGTTAGCCAAAAGAAGAGCCAATCTCTTCAAGTGATTGTAGAACCCCCACTGTTTCTATGTTAGAGATAGAAGACTGTTGAAGTTTTTTCACTCATCACAATTACATCTTGCTTTTCTTTTACAGCTAATGGAGCATTGCAAATGAAGAGTGTTGTGAAAAGACCAAAGCCAAGACTAACTCCAGTCTCCAGTCCTGCATCCAGACGGATTGTTCTTGTGGGTAAAACTAGTGTTGGTAAAAGTGCATCTGGAAACACAATCCTGGGACAGAGAGAGTTTAGATCTAGGAGGAGTATGAGTTCAGTAACTCATGAATCTACAGAAGCTCAGGCCACAGTTTCAGGCAGATCTGTGTCTGTAGTCGACACTCCTGGATTATTCGACACTCAGATGAAGCAGGAAGAGTTAATGAAGGAGATCAGCAGAAGTGTGTATATCTCCAGTCCTGGACCTCACGCTTTCCTCATTGTGTTTCCTGTGAACATGAGATTCACTGAATATGAACAGCAGATTCCTCAGATGACTGAACTGCTGTTTGGTGAAGAAGTGTTGAAATACTCCATCATTCTCTTCACTCATGGAGATCAGCTGGATGGAGAGTCTGTAGAGAAGCTGATAGAGGAGAACTGTAGATTAAGATCTGTAGTCCAGCAGTGTGGAGGCAGATATCATGTGTTCAACAACAGAGATGTGAATAACAGAGAGCAGGTGGAGGATCTACTGCAGAAGATTGACTCAATGATACAGCAGAATGGAGGAGGACACTACAGCAATCAGATGTATGAAGATGCTCAGAGAGCCAGACAAGAGGAAGAAGTGGAGAGACAGAGAGAAGAAGAGGAGAGACAGAGAGAAGAAGAGAGACAGAGAGAAGAAGAGGAGAGAAAACAACAAAAGGAGAAACAAAGACGGGAGGAGATTGAGAGAGTGAAGAAGGAAGCAGAGGAGAGAGTCAGAGCAGAGTATGAAAAGAGTAAGAAACAAGAGGAGAAACAAAGACGAGAGGAGATTGAGAGAGTGAAGAAGGAAGCAGAGGAGAGAGTCAGAGCAGAGTATGAAAAGAGTAAGAAACAAGAGGAGAAACAAAGACGAGAGGAGATTGAGAGAGTGAAGAAGGAAGCAGAGGAGAGAGTCAGAGCAGAGTATGAAAAGAGTAAGAAACAAGAGGAGAAACAAAGACGAGAGGAGATTGAGAGAGTGAAGAAGGAAGCAGAGGAGAGAGTCAGAGCAGAGTATGAATCACTGGAAAATAAGGATGGAGTCAGGCAAGACATGAAAACCTTCAGTGGATCTATGTGGAATTTTTACAAGCAACATGGTGTTTTGTCTGTCGTTGGAGCTGCTGTTGGAGCTGTTATTGCTGCACCTGTTGCTGCTGCTGCAGCTGTTGTTGCTGCACCTGCTGTTGGTGTTGCTGCTACTGTTGGTGTTGCTGCTACTGTTGGAGGTGCTGCTACTGTTGGAGGTGCTGCTGTTGGTGCTGCTGCTGCAAAAAGAATTGATGACATTCAAAAGCAACTAGATAAGAGGAAAAAATAGAAAAAGATGAATTTGAGAGTATGAAAAAAAAGGATGAGTAAGGTCAATTTAACTTCGGAAATAAGGATTCAGAGACGCAAGAAAGAGGTAGCAAACAGCTGCTACATACTTCAGCATTAGAAATTCATACACCGGGTTGAGATGGAAATGCAGCTCCAGCTGAAAAGTGCAGTAAGACAGTGTCACACAGCAGAAGATGACATGCTGAAGAGATGGCACTAACGGAGACCATAAGCAGGACCAAAAAAGGTACAATATTATTTTAAACTGTTTATTTTACACTGTGAGATTGTGTGGGTACTTCACGGTACATGTCTCCTACTCAGGCAGCATTATTCAGCACATAAGTAGATCTAAGTGTGGTGCTTCTCTATTTCATGGTACATGATGATCAGGTGAGCTTCTTGTACTTTTTACACATTCAGTAATGTTCTTATTTTGGACTGTTTCCTTTATAATCATAAGCAAACTGTTTTGCTTACAGAATCTCTGAACATCTGAAAACCACAGACTTGCCTACTATATATTATGAGAAGAAAAGATGTGAGATGAATAGTGCGTTTAAGTACACAGTACAAGAATAACAGTAGGTGAGACGTTCCCAGATGACCTACTGATTCTGAAGCTACATGGAATAGAAGCCATGCTATGCCATAATGCAGGGGTGGGCAAGCTCTGTCCTGGAGTACTGGCGTTCTGCAGAGTTTAGCTTCAACGCTAATCAAACACACCTGAACATGCTAATCAGTGTTTTCAAGATCACTAAAAATCTATTCACCTTATTCTTTGCATACGAGCGGGCGCAGCCATTTGAATCTTTTTTGCTCGAGACTTCTGTCTCATTCCTTTCCTTTTACTTTTAGATGTTAATAACGGCAGCGTTCTGCTTTTTGATGTTGCAGACTGATATTTTTTTAATTAAATTATTCTCTTTTGTCTGTATAGTCATGCAAACATTTGTTTTTAGAGTGAGTAGTTTGATCGTTTTCTGCTGTTTATTGATCTTAGTTATTTATCCTATAGGAAACTGAATTGGACGTTCTATAAGCAGGTGGCATTTTAACATTTAAGATGTTATTTTTTTATTCACACATATTAAGTAAAATGTAGATGTCAATTCATTCTTTATTATGGTCCAATTTTATATATGGTCATTTTGGGATTTTCTCAATAGACTGAGATTTTAATCAATATAATGATAAGTTCCTGCTCAACTTTAATGTCATTTATTAATGCTATCAGCTAAGTGTTTAATCATATGTACTGTTTGTTTTGTTTCAGGGAGTGTCATGGCATCTGTGATTATGTCTTATGGAAACTTTGTTTCCAGTTAAGAGTTGCAGATCATGGAGTTAGCAGTGATGCACGTTCCTAGAGCTGGGAGAACTATGTGCGTGTACGCTTAATAAATAAGCAGATTTTGCAGTAAGTTGTTGTCTCGTGGCATTATTATTATAACTACCTCAACACAAGAAGATCCACAGAGACCATTTTGATTCTACTAGGTATCAAGTCATGTTTATTTCTTTACCACTTGTATTATGTAGATGATAGGTCTCAAACTCAGTTCCTGAAGGGCTGCAGCTCTGCACAGTTTTGCTCCAACCCCAATCAAACACAGCTGATCCAAATAATCAAAGTGTGCAACACTCATTTGAACATCTTGATTAGTTTGATCAGCTGTGTTTGATTAGGGTTGCTGCAAAGCTGCGGCCCTCCAGGAATCCAGTTTGAGACCTATGATGTTGATTGTGTCAAACCTCCTTTACAAGGATGAACGGGAAAGTTGTATCATATCAAAGTCATTAACAATATTTCAGGCTGTGTATTCCAGCACTTTAGGCAGGGTTGAGAGTAGAGTAGTGTAGAATGCTGGATAAATTAACATTGATTCAGTTGAGTTTAGTATGAATGTCTCAGTTGAACTTCAGTTCATTTCAGTGTAATGATGTAAACGTCCCTGCTGAAAGCCAAAACACGAGAACAAATCCAAAGATGTGCAGCTCCAACTAAATATTATTTGTGTCTAAAATCACACAATGTTTTAATAGGGGTTCTAATGTTACCCAACACTTTGCGATTTAACTTGATTTAATCTTGGACAGTGGTTCAACATGATTACACTACTTCATCTTAACAACACTGGATGATGTTAAACAAGCTTAAAATACTTGTGTTCATCTAACATGGACCAGCGATGTTGATTGAACATGATTTCAGTATTTTTATTCTACTTCAATTCATGTTTTTGTTAAACTTTCAAGTATTTCTGTTCAATGAACAACTATTTTCAGCTTGTTAAACACATAGTGCTGTTCATATGATGTGGCGTAATCATGTGGAACCACTGGCCATGATTAAATCACATGCTATGCTTCATGTACATGAAACTCAATAATGAAGTATGCTATCCATCTCAGATGCAGAAAAGCTAGTCCATGCTTTTATGAGCTCTAGGCTGGATTACTGTAATGCTCTGTTTGCTGGCTGCCCAGCATCCTCTATAAACAAACTTCAGCTAGTACAACATGCAGCAGCCAGAGTTCTGACCAGGTCTAGAAAATATGATCATATCAGCCCAATGTTCTCCTCCTTACACTGGCTGCCTGTTTAGTTTCACATTGAATTTAAAATATTACTTCTCACCTATAAAGCTCTAAATAATCGAGCTCCCAACGAGATGATGCCAACCACTGAGGACTTTGTGGACAGCACATACCTTTGTAATGCAATAATGTGCACCTTTTGTAAAGCTGCTTTGAAACAATAATTATTGTAAAAAGGGCTATACAAATAAACCTGAAGGGAATGATAATTTTACAATTTAGCGAGGCAAAACTGTGCTTATGCTAGTTCTGAGACATACTATCGCATTCTGACCAAGTCAAGGCTTTTCTATTAAAATATACTTTATTTTGCTATTGGTTTATTTGCAAAGATTAAGTATTTAATAACTCTTTCCATTCAGAAATAGATATTTCATGTTACCCATGGTATGTTTCATATAAAACAACATGGTGAATGTTTATACAAGTTTGGTCAGCAGTAAGAAATATTAAAAAAACGTTTGTAGAGGAGAAACTATAAGATGATATTGTAGGGTTATTATACAGTTTGATCCAAAAGTCTGTCAGATGAAGAAGAGACGAAGTCTGAGATTCATTAATTCGTTTATTAATCAGGAGTCGCCACAGTGGAATGAACCGACAACTTATCCAGCATATGTTTTAGGCAGCAGATGCCCTTCCAGCTGCAACTCAATCACTCATACACTACAGACAACTAAGCTTACCCAATTTCCCTATTGCACATGTGTTTGGACTGTGGGGTAAACCGGAGGAAACCCATGCCAACACGGGGAGAACATGCAAACTCCACACAGAAACACCAACTGACCCAGCCGAGACTTTAACCAGCGACCTTCTTGCTGTGAGGCGATTGTGCTACTCAGAGATTGAATTAAAAAGAAAGCACTGAAGAGGGTTTGCAGTTTCAGCAAAAGCCAGCTTGAACACTCGCAAAGAGTTTGTAGGCAGCTCTAATTTTAAAAGATTAGCGAATAACAATAGTTGTTTCCAATTCTTTAAGAGTCCAGGTCTACTCGAGGTCTCCATGACCTCTGACCTAATTTGGGAGCTCCTGAAAATAGAGGTTTGACAAAGATAGGGAAAAACACACTCCAAATAAACATTCCTATTATATTATATTCTGAAATTATGAAATGTTTAACTTTATTCGTTGGTCAAAATCATTTCAAAGATTAAATACTGATTAAAATAATCATATTAATACAGTAATGAGGAAAAGGGAAATTGTTGATCCTTTCTGTGATGGATTTGAAGAAATCTGACCCCATCAGTGTATTTATAATATAGTCTGAGATTTAATATGCTAATTAGAAAATCGTGTTCATCCACTTCCTAATCTACATCAGAAGTTTAATCACATATAATCCTATTGTAAATATGGCTGTGTTCAAATATCAATAGTTTAGTAACACTACAGTAAGCTTCCATTAGTAAATGTTAGTTATGTAACTATGTGAACAACACATCTATTGTTAATGGAAATACAGTTCATGTTAATTCACACTGCATTAATGTTAACAAGGGAGAATTTGCATTATTATTATATTATAATGCATTAGTAAATGCTGTAAAAGCATCGTTCATTAGTTAATCTTAGTAAATATATTAATTAATGAAACCCAATTGTAAGTTATGACCAAATAATTATATAATGAATTCATTTACATGTGAACTGATCATTCTGATTATGTGATATCATGAAAGACTGGTGCTTAAAGGTCTTTATAAAGCCAGAAAAAAACACTAAATAATTATTTTAACCTCAGAAGATGAAGACTTAACCATACAGAGAATGGCAGCAGCTTTCAGGTATGACTTCAGGTTTGCTTTCAGAATTAAGATGTAGATTTTATATTTGTTGCTACATTATGCGGTAAAATTATTTTTACAAACTCTTAACAATACATGAGTTTGCGACTTTCTATAAAAGGTAACTTGCTTCTTTTCTATCTCATAGCTGCAAGTTAAACAGTGCTTTAAAATGTCCTTGAGTCTTCAGCTTCAGTTTCTGATCCAGTTGTGTTCCCAAAGTATCTGTTCATCCCTGCAGAGATTAAAAATAAATATCCAATCTGGTCTTAAGGGCATGCTCTACATTATTATTATCTAAATCTACTTTCACTTTCACTTTTAAAGCAAACGCTCTTGCTGTTTGTCTCCAGAAGGAGGCGCTGTGACGTCAAAAAAACAGCGGCATCTTGTGACAGACCCAAAGACCGATAAAAATGATTAAGATAACGCCCAGTGTTAATATTGTCCATGATGAAATGATTAATATTAGACAGTTTATTAGACACCTTTTTCACATTCAGTGTTTAGTTATTAGAGAAAATAGGCCAGATCACCAAATTACCGTGGTTTGATATCCTGTATCCTGAATGAAACGTGTGTGTGTGTGTGTGTGTGTGTGTGTGTGTGTGTGTGTGTGTGTGTGTGTGTGTGTGTGTGTGTGTGTGTGTGTGTGTGTCGCGCATGCGCACAACTACAGCTACTATGTTTAGTCGTTCACTCTACTCAAACTTCGCAGAAGGAAATCCACCTTGTATGCTCGTGTTGCAGCATGCTTGTGTTTGTAGATTGCTTCATTTTAAAGGGTTTTATGGTGAATGATTACTTCTTAATCATGAGGACATGAGTTCATCTGTTGGATTTTCAGCGCAAGTGTTTGGATTTCTGTTTGTTTTTGTTTACTTTGGTGGCGATCGGTTTGATCTGATTAAAAAGTTCACTTTTCAAACGGAGATGTTGGACACCCAGCGATAAACATCTGACAATTTATTTTTAAAAATCTGAGTTCTGATGGAGCAGATGGTGTATTCATGACAGAAAACGTCTTTGCAAGTTTGTAAACAGCGAAACTGGGAACCCACCTGAACCCGATGGACGACCCGGTGGATCGGTGTCCCGTTAAACGCTCTAACAGCATCTTGCAGAAGTGCCTTCTCGTGTTACTGGAGCTCTAAAAGCAGAGCCTGACTGTACTAAAGCGGTCATGTGTTCAGTGTTTTCTCTTCAGGACTGGTGTCGAGGTGTTTGTGAAGGTTACAGTGATGTCCAGATCACAGACATGAGCTCCTCGTTCACTGATGGACTGGCCTTCTGTGCGATCATCCACAAACACAGACCGGACCTACTGTAAGAATTAAACAGCACTCAGTCTACAGATTATTCATACAGAGATAGATTATATGAGCGTATTATAGAAGACAAGAGATAAAACTAGCTCAAAAGAAAAAACATTACAGTTATTCAAATATCAGTACACCATTTTGGACTATCATGGGTTTTATGAACTTCAACAGTAGCTTGTGTACCATAGTAAGTACAGTAAAAAGATAACATCAGTATACCATTTTAGGGATAACAGCTGGTACATCATTATTTTGCAATTTTATAACTTTTTAAAACAATTAAATTGTAGTGCATTACATTTACTTTATGTCTATGTTTTATAACCATGTTTTATAATATATAAAAAGCGCTGGGTCTATACATCGTCCATCGCAATGTTTCACATTAGACATCATACAATGCCAAATTGGTTGACATTGCCCAACCCTAAATCATATAGTCAATAAATATCTTAAACATTTCACAGCCATCAATATGATTATATATTTTATGGTAGGGCTGAACAATATATCGCTTCAGCATTGATATTGTCACATCGCAGGATCAGCAATGTTGAATCTGCATTATTATTGAGCAGATTTTGGAAAACACTCATGATTTGTAGAGTTTTTGCAGCAATTAACCATGAACTTACCAAAACATTTATTATTTATGAGTGTTTATATTATTAGATTCAGTTTAAACGTTTTCAGGCAATTAAATTACACTTTTAACTAATTAATAAATAATTACAATTAATTGCATTTATGTAAATGTATAATGTATGGTATTATTTTACATTGGTGTATTACATTTGTGCATCTAAATATTGCTAGACTTCTCGAAAATCATATAGCACTGTATATTTAATTTGCTTAGTGTTGTTGCTGTACTATATTTCTCACTGTGTGTGTTTGGTGTAATATAGTTTTTACATGCACTCCCTTACAAAATCATCTCAATGTATCAAAAATTATGAATTCTTTCCAAATAGACGTATTCATTTAATCTGGTGAAATTATCTATTAAGTATCACAATATGCAGTTGAAAGCAGAAGTTTACACACACTGAATAAAAAGGCTCATAACCATCACAAAAAGGTCAGATGTTAACGTGACTAAACTTTTCCTCATTTAGGTAAGTTAGGATGTGATCATTTGTGTTTCTGTTCTGCTTAATAGCAGTTTAATTAGAGAGTGATTTGTTGAGAAATTGTTCTAACTCTTCTTGAAAGTCAAGTTTACACACAATAAGATTATTCTGCCTCTGGAAAAGCTCAGATGATGATGTCAAGGCTTTAGAAGTTTATCTGACAACATTTGAGTTAATGTGAGGCACAACTGTAGAATAGTATTGAAGGAAAAGCTCAAACACACTGCTTCCTTGTGTGACAACATGGGAAAATCAACAAGCCAGAATCAACAACAAAGCCAGATTAGAATCTGCTAAACTACACTGGGAAAACACTAATGTTTGGAGACATGTCCTGTGCTCTGATGGAGCTAAGATTGAACTGTTGGCCATAATGACCAGTGTTACATTTGGAGGACAAAGAGGAAAGCGCACAAGCCTAGAACACCATCCCAACTGTGAAGTATGGGGGCGGCAGCATCATGTTGTGGGGCTGTTTTGCTGCAGGAGGGACTGGTCCATTTCACAACATAGATGGCATCATGAAGACAGAACATTATGAAGAAATACTGAAGCAACATCTCAAGACATCAGCCAGGAAATTAAAACATGGCCACAAATGAGTCTGTCAAACAGACCATCATCCGAAGCATACTTCCAAATTAGTTCAAATGTGCTTTGAAGACAACAGAGTGAATGTTTTGGAGTGGCCATCACAAAGCCCTGATCTCAACCCTATAGAGAATGTGTGGGCAGAAATTAAAAAGCTTGTGCGAGCAGGACAGCCAACAAATCTGACTCAGTTACAGCAATTCTGTCTGGAGGAATGGGCCAAAATTCCTGCAAACTATTGTGAGAAGCTTGTGGAAGGAGACACAAAACACTTGACCAAAGTTATACAGTTTAAAAGCAAAACTAAAAAGTACCAAGGAAATGTGTGTAAGCGTTTCACTCTAGAAATTAATCAAAAAATCTATAATTATTCTAGCATTAAATACCTAAAATAGTAAAAGTTTAGTATCATTTACCATTAGACATTTTAAAAAATGGTTATGTTCCTTCAACTGTATATTGTAGAAAAATAAACTATTGCAATGTCAGTTTTTTCAATACCATGCAGCACTACTTTAAATTGAGGATGGATGAGGACTTTGTGAAGTCCAAATAATTACAAATATAAGGTGCTAGCAGGGGTTTCTGTTCTGTTTTTACCATCTCATGTTTTCTGCTTCAGAATTTGTTCATGTCTAAATGTGTATCTGAAGCATCTGTTTCTCTCTGCAGAGATTTCCACTCTCTGTCCAAACACAAGGCCGGTGAGAACATGCGACTGGTGAGTTTCTGTTGATGAAGATGTTAATGTATGACATGTGAACTGGAAGACTCTGTTCAGAAAAGACTCAGTAGAGCTTAGTTTTATTCTAACAGTAAACACGCCTCAGACGTTTGCTCCAGAGAGTCATCTTCATTGTGTATGGGTCATGTCTGCACCTGTGATGGAAGCTCTGGTCTGTCTGGTTTGTGTGTGTGTGTGTGTGTGTGTGTGTGTGTGTGTGTGTGTGTGTGTGTGTGTGTGTGTGTGTGTGTGTGTGTGTGTGTGTTTCTCAGGCGTTCAGTGTTGCGGAGCGTGAGCTGGGTGTTCCTGCTCTTCTGGATCCGGATGAGCTGCTGTGTGAGGAGCCGGATCTGCTGTCCATCATCACGTACGTCTCTCAGCTCTACTGTGTGTTCAGTGGAAGATCTGATGGTAAAAATCTCGAAAGACTGTTATACAGTGAAGATCTCACATGCTCTTCATCACTCAAATGTCTGACTGTAACTGATTGACAATCTCTGATCTGATCAGACACTCAGAAGAACCACCTGGAGGATGAACCTCACAGAACCAGAGCAAACACTTGGGTATCTGTCTGTCTGCCTGTCTGTCTGTCTGTCCATCTGTCTGTCTGTCTGTCCGTCTGTCTGTCCGTCTGTATCTCTCCATCTGCCTGTCTGCTGTCTATTTGTTTGCTCTCTGTGTCTGCCTGTCTGTCTGTTCATCTACCTGTCTGTCTGCTGTACATCTGCTGTCCATCCGTATGTCTGTCTGCTATCTGTCTGTCTGTCTGTCTATCTGCTGTCTGTCTGTCTGTCTGTCTGTCTGTCTGTCTGTCTGTCCGTCTGTCTGTCCGTCTGTATCTCTCCATCTGCCTGTCTGCTGTCTATTTGTTTGCTCTCTATGTCTGCCTGTCTGTCTGTTCATCTACCTGTCTGTCTGCTGTGCATCTGCTGTCCATCCGTATGTCTGTCTGCTATCTGTCTGTCTGTCTGTCTATCTGCTGTCTGTCTGTCTGTCTGTCTGTCTGTCTGTCCATCTGCCTGTCTGTCTGTCCATCTGTCTGTCCGTCTGTATCTCTCCATCTGCCTGTCTGCTGTCTATTTGTTTGCTCTCTATGTCTGCCTGTCTGTCTGTTCATCTACCTGTCTGTCTGCTGTACATCTGCTGTCCATCCGTATGTCTGTCTGCTATCTGTCTGTCTGTCTGTCTATCTGCTGTCTGTCTGTCTGTCTGTCTATCTGCTGTCTTTCTGTCTGCCTGTCTCTGTTCAGCTGCTGTTCGTCTGTCTCTCCATCTGCCTGTCTGTTTGCTGTCCATCTGTCTGTCTATCTGTCTGTCGCTCGGTCCATCTGCCTGTCTGTCTATCCATCTGTATTTCCATCTGTCTTTCTGTCTCCATTTGCTGTCTGTCTGTCTCTCTTCATCTGCCTGTCTGTCCATTTGTTTGTTTGCCTGTCTGTCTGCCTGTTCTTCTGTTGTCCTTTTGTCTGTCTGTCTCCATCTACCTGTCTGTCTGTTCGTCTGTCTGTCTGTCTGTCCGTCCATTTGCCTGTCTGTCACTCCATCTGTCTGTCCATTTGTCCTTTCTTCTGTCTTTCTATCTGCCTGTCTGTCTGTTAGTCTGCTGTCCATCTGTCTCTAGTAGTCTATTATCTGCCAGTCTGTCTATCCATCATTATTTTCGTCTGTCTTTGTCTCTTCGTTTGTTGTCTGTCTGTCTCTCTCCGTCTGCCTGGCTGTCTGTTTGCTGTCTATCTGCCTGTCTGCTGTCTCTCTGTCTGCTGTCCATCTGCCTGTCTGTCCATTTGTTTATCCATCTGCCTGTCTCTCTCTGTTCATTTGCTGTCCATCTGTCTCTCCATCTGCATGTCTGTCTGTCCATCTTCAGTTGCTGTCTTTCTGTCTCTTCCCATCTGCCTGTCTGCTGTCTATCCATCTGTCTGCTGTCCGTCTGTCTGTCTGTCTCTCAGTCTGCTGTCGATATGTTTGTTCGTCTGCCTGCCTGTCCATCTGTCTCCATCTACCTATCTGTCTTCTGTCTGTCCCTCCATCTTTCTGTCAGTTTATCTGTCCATCTGTCTGTCCATTTGTCTTTCATTCTCTTTCCATCTGTCTGTCTGTCGCTTTGTCCATCTCCCTGTCTGTCTATCCATCTGTCTTTCTGTCTGGTAGTTTGCTGTCCATCTGTTTCTCTCCATCTGTCTGTTGTCCATCTGCCTGTCTATCCATTTGTTTGTCTGTCTGTCTGTCTGTCTGTCTGTCTGACTCCATCTACCTTTTAATTTGTTTTCCATCTTTCTGCTGTCCTTCTATCCATCTAGTTGCCTGTCTGTCTGTTCATCCATCTCTCTATCCTTCTGTCAGTTTGTCTGTCCATCTGCCTGTCTGTCTGTCTACCTGTCTTTCTGGTAGTTTACTGTCTGTTGTTCATTTCCCTCTGTCTGACCATCCATATGTCTGTCTTTCCATCCATCTGTCTGTCTATACGTCTGTCTGTCTGTCCATCTGTCTGCTGTGCCTGTGTCTGTCCCTCCATCTGTCTCTCTCCATCCATCTCTTAGTTCTTTCTTAAATCTGTCTATTGGTTCATTTGTCTTTCTGTCAGTTTGTTTGTCTAAATGTCTGTCATCCATTTGTCTGTCTTTCTGTCTGTCCATCCGTTGGTCTGTCCGTCTGTCCATCGTCCATCTTTCTTTCTGTCTGTCCATCTGGCACTTAGTCTGTCCACCCATCTCTCTTTCTTTCTGTCTGTCCATCTGTCTGTCTTTTCATGTGTCCCTACCTCCATCTCTCTCTCTCTCTCTCTCTGTCTAATTCTTCCTTCTCTTCTGTCTGTCAGTTGTTCTCTTCAGATGTGATCAGGTCTTCAGACAGAAGTGTGTGTAGAGTTTGTCACACACACGTTCATCTCATTCAGAGAGTATTGGTGAAGGGTCGCCTGTATCACCGCTCCTGCTTCAGGTAAAACACACACACACAGCTAAATCTGCCTGCACACACTCTCTCTTTCTCTCACACACATGCTCCTGACTGTCCTGATAGTCTGTGTGTGTGTGTGTGTGTGTGTGTGTGTGTGTGTGTGTGTGTGTGTGTGTGTGTGTGTGTGTGTGTGTGTGTGTGTGTGTGTGTGTGTGTGTGTGTGTGTGTGTTTCAGATGCAGTCTCTGCCGTCGCTCTCTGCTGCCGATGTCTTTCACAGAACACAGTGAGACGGGTTCACTGAGGTGCAGTTACCAGTGTAAACCTGCTGGTGAACACACAGATCAACACTCACACACACACACCTGTGAGACGGAGAGAGACAGAGGAGAGGCGGATGGAGAGATTGTAGAAAAGATGAGTGAAGTATGTCTCTCAGATTCACCCGGAACTGACCAACAAGCTGTTTTACTCCACGATCCACAACATCAGACAGACAAAAGCAGTGGAGAGACAGAAGGAGACAGAGGAGAGATGGACAGAAACGGTGGAGAGACAGACAGCAAGAGAGTAGAGACAGACATAAATGGTGGAGAGACAGACAGAAATAGAGAGGAGGCAGACAGAATCTGTGGAGAGACTGACAGAAACAGAAGAGAGACAGACAGAAATGGTGGAGAGACAGATGAAGATGTGAGTGATGGCCGTCTCTCCTCCTCCTCATCAGAGTCTGATGTACAAACACCTCCCAGACCTGCTCCAAGAAAAAGGGCGGAGCCTCAGGACCATCCCTGCCTTGCCCCCAGATCACATGACCATCGCCCTGAAAACGGTTAGTAACTTCAGGCTTGTTTGACTTCATGTGGCGTATACAGTGGGCACGAAAAGTCTTCAGACCCCCTTACATCCTTCACTCTTTGTTATATTGCTGCCATTTTATGAAATAATTTAAGCTCATGTTTAAGCTTATCTCAGTATTCAGAGCCTTTGCTCAGTGTTTAGCCGAAGCACCCTTTTGATCTAATGCAGCCGTGAGTCTTTTCAGGAAAGATGCATCAAGTTTTCCACAGCTGGATTTGTGGATCCTCTGCCATTCCTCCTTGCAGATCCCCTCCAGTTCTGTCAGGTTGGATGTAAACGTTGGTGCACAGCCATTTTTAGGTCTCTCCAGAGATGCTCAATTGGGTTTGAATCAGTATCTGGCTGGGCCATTCAATAACAGTGTTATTTAAGTTTCAGAAGTGTTCTTAGCGTCATTATATATATATATATATATATATATATATATATATATATATATATATATATATATATATATATATATATATATAATTTATTAAACATTTTAAGTTTTTAGTTTCTATCATTTTTAAATCAACAAAATTCTGCACAATAATAGCAGAAACTGTCCTCATATTCCCTCTGGCTCTGGTGATAATGCTTGTTTTATTTCTGCTGTGTGTTTCTGGTGTCAGTTCTGCCTCAGAGAGCCGTGTCAAAGGATCATCCCTGGTTAAAGCTGGTTAATCCGGGCCCCTGGTATCATCTTCCTCCAGTTCCAGTTTATTCCCGCCACCGACCCCCGACCTTTAACCCCTTCCAGGAGGTGGAGGAGGAGGATAAACAGGTACTGAGAGCAGCACAGAGTCAGCTCTTCATAACACTGTCAAATCAGGAACAGACATCATGAGACGTTTCAGATCCTCATTAACCTGGAGACTCAGTTCTGTAAAAGACAATACTGCAGTATATTCAAGATCACGCAGCTGCTGGAAATTCATTCATTCATTTGCCTTCAGCTTATTCTTTATTGCAGAGGTAGACACAGTGGATTGAACTATTCCAGCATATGTTTTACGCAGCGAATGCCCTTCCAGCTGCAACCCAGTACTGGGAAACATGGAGAGTAAAGTCTTGCAATGTTACGCAAATGAAAAAAGGCAGAACGTGAGATATTACTAATACGAGAGCCAACGAGAGCATAGCATCCAGTATAACCCCTAGACTTTGGACATGGGTTGATAAATTGTCTGGGGAGTTATCAGTGATCAGGGTAAAAGATTGATCTTTGGATAAAACTGACCTAGAGCCAGCCAGAAGGCCTTCAGATTTACTGACATTTAACTTTAAGAGTTTATTAATCATTCATATATTAATGTCCTGTAGACTAGTGGTTCCCAAAGTGATGGTTGGGACCCCCTGAGGCAGGGATCACCAAACTTTTTCTTAAAGGGCCGATGTTCATGAGATTTTAGCTTCAACCCTAATCAAACACACCTGAACAAGCTGATCAAACTCTTACTAGGTGTACTTGAAACATCCAGGCAGGTGTGTTGAGGCAAGTTGGAGCTAAACCCTGCAGGGACACCGGCCCTCCAGGACCGAGATTGGTGACGCCTGTCCCAGGGTTCGAGAGACAATAAGGGGGTGATATTAAACTATTAGAATTACCGTGTTTTCTCCATATCCTACAGAAGATATCAATAGTATTTGATAGTTACATGAAAAACAACATGCAAAAAGCCGTCAGACTTCTAACTCTTTTCTCATCGGATTGCAACCCCTGGAGTTATTACACTAGATTATTGACAAAGCAATGGTGTTAGTTGCAGCAGATTGATTTTACAGCACAATTTTACACTTTGATACCTTTACGGCACTCACGTACATTAAAAATAAAGGCCACGACTGAACATCGAGGACCATCACCAAGTGGTGGTCTCCATAATTAAACCAAGACCAGTCTTGTGGTGTAAACACTGCGCTCACCATTCTCATTAAGTCAGGTTTATATTAAATTAAACAAATGAATAATGATTATGAAATATATATATATATATATATATAGTTATAAGACTGTTGCACTTTTAGTGTTGTCAATAAGCTCATTTATATAGTTCCTATTGGTGTGTGTGCACTGTTGTGTGAAATGTTTGTATGTTTATAACCACCTCCGGGGATAGTGGGGTTCACGAATCACTGGAATTGTCATTTTAAGGGTCTCGAGGTGAAAGGTTTGGGAACCCCTGCTGTAGACGTTTAGTAAGGTCAGAAGGGGAGTGAGAGAATGTAGGTTTTGTAGATATATAAGTTTGTGTATCTTCTTTTTATACGACTTAGATGTCAAATATAAATGATAAATAAAAGAGGACCCAACACTGACCCTTGAGGAACACCCTGAATATCTGAGAGCGTCTGTTGTTTATCAGTGTTCTGTCAGTGAAATGAGATGAGAGTCAGCATTATTATCAGCTGCTCCTGTATCAGCCAGTCCCTGCAGTAATACTGAGTGTTGTTTTTGTGTTTGCAGTTTCACACAAGCGGTGTGAAATGAACACACACACTAACTATATCCTGTTTTCTGTCTTTGTCAAGCGAAACTCTGTCAGTTGTGAAACCTCAGTCTCACACAAACCCCAAACTTCATGTTCAGCTCCCAGCATGCATCAGGCTGCCGCCGTTCATGGTTTCCCGCTCATCAAGAGGAAGGTGAGACACAAACTGGCTTCATTCTGCTGATGATAGTGATGCTGAAATCTCTCTTCAGTTTGCAGAATTAAATTTAAAGATTCAAACGTGGAATTATTGTACACACACACACACACACACACACACACACACACACACACACACACACACACACACACACACACACACACACAAATAGTAACCATTACAGTTTTAATGGTTTCCACTAAAATATGTACTAGTCTAACTAGCTAGTCGGCAGCTAGCTCTCTGCAACTCTCACATGGTCGCCAAGTGAAGCTAAGCAGAGCTGCACCTGCTCAGTACCTGGATGGGAGACCACATGGGAAAGTTAGGTTGCTGCCGGAAGTGGTGTTAGTGAGGCCAGCAGGGGGCGCCCAATCTGCAGTCTGTGTGGGTCCTAATGCCCCAGTATAGTGACGGGGACGCTATACTGCTCAGTGAGCGTCTTCTTTCGGATGAGACTTTAAACCGAGGTCCTGACTCTCTGTGCTCATTAAAAATCTCAGGATGTCCTTTGTAAAAGATCAGGGGTTTAACCCCGGCATCCTGGCCAAATCTGCCCACTGGCATCTGTCCATCATGGCCTCCTAACCCTCCCCATATCATAATTGGCTTTATCATTCACTGGTGTGCGGTCTGGCGCAATATGCTGCACACTGGTGGTGGATGAGGAGATCCCTCCCAATGTGTAAAGTGCTTTGAGTGTTCAGTAAAGCGCTTTATAAATGTAAGGAATTATTATTATTATTAGTTTATTGGGTAAAATATGATTGTTTGCATTGGATTTTATTGGTGTTTAATGGGTTTTATTGTGTTTTTGGGCATATTTTATGTCAGGGGAATGTCTTTGTAGTGTCAGAAATGTACATTTTAGTCTTTAAAAAGTCTGAAATGCACTATAATATTGTGTTGTAGGTTTAAAATGATTTTAAACAGGTCTTCATTTCTCTTTGTCCATGTGAAGATGCTCAATCTGGCCAAAACCCATCCAATCACCAACAACAACAACAACAACACATCTCAATAAAACCTTTAGCGAATGTTTTATTTATTAACTCTATTTACCAATAATGCTGTATATTGAATTATTATACCGTTGTGTTGCTGTTGTGTTTTGCAGTGCTCTTACTGTAATGAAATGCTATGCTGCAAAAAAAGTGTATATACTATAATATATTGCTTATAAGTTTGACTGTGTGTGTGTCTGTCTGTCTGTCTGTCTGTCTGTCTGTCTGTCTGTCTGTGTGTGTGTGTGTGTCTCTCTGTGTGTGTGTCTCTGTGTGTAGATTAATTTAGACACTCGTGTATCGGAGCAGCAGGTGTGTGTGGAGCAACAGAAGCTGGAGGAGCGTCTGCAGGATCTGGAGAGGAGAGGAGTTCAGCTAGAGAGAGACATGAGGACACGCTCAGACCGTAAATATCACACACACACACACACACACACACACACACACACCCAAACAATAACTACAGTATCAGCTACTCTAGAGAAACACATTAAGGCAGGAGTGCCTAAACTCAGTCCTGGAGGGCTGCTGTCCTGCAGAGTTTAGCTACAGCCCCAGCTAGACACACCTGAACCAGCTAATCAAGCTCCTACTAGTGTACTAGAATCTTTTAGGGAGGTGTGTCAAAGCTAGTTGGAGGAAAAGTCCTGAGGGCTCAATCACACAGCTTATCGTTGTGTCTACAAGTGAGACACAGCTCTCAGGAACGCTTTTAACAATGTTAAAGTCAAATTAAACAGTCGTCATGCTCACTGGATACTGTAAACTGAAGCTTGCAATGCAGCTCATGCCCCGCTTCAGGTATTTAAAAAGTCTTCAAACCTGACATGATGTCTTAAAAATGTGAACAACTGCAAAAGATGCAAACATAACAGCCACACATTTCCACCAAGTGTGTGTGAATATAGAAAACAGTGGAAGAGCAGTGCACATGAATGGAGAAACAGGTTCTGTGTGAATGACGCCTAAAGCTAACAAACACACTAACAGACAAACATACAGTAACAGAACTCCACCCTAATCTCAACACACACGCTAATGCTAACACACTAACGGACAAACATACAATTACAGCAACTCCACCTAAACCTCAACACACACGCTAATGCTAACACAATTTTTGTTGTGAATGCCATTGTATACTGTTTTATTTATAACTCTGTACACCCCTGTTTGATCAATAGAAAAACAAAAAATACAAATACACCTTAATCTCAACACACACGCTAATGCTAACACAATTTTTGTTGTGAATGCCATTGTATACTGTTTTATTTATAACTCTGTACACCCCTGTTTGATCAATAGAAAAACAAAAAATACAAATACACCTTAATCTCAACGCACACGCTAATGCTAACACACTAACAGACAAACATACAATTACAGCAACTCCACCTTAACCTCAACACTACTGTTAACAAACACACTAACTTCAGCAAAGCTGTTGTTGTTCACCATGTCTGAATCTCCACACACGCTCTTCCTTCTACGTCATTAAACCGTGTAGAAGCAGCACATTGTCGCAAGTTTAATGATGTAAAGAACGGAACACCTCAATAAATCTGATCTTCCTGTTTACATGACAGTCGCATTGTCACATTTCCGATCTATATCTGATTTATTTCCACATATGAAGGAGGCCTAAAACCCATCTCTGAATATCCCAGTGCATGCGTTTTTTCGTGTTTACACGGTCATAGAACAGATCCGATCTATCTCACATAAGAGCAAAACATCAGAATTGGGTCACATTTAACTGGCAGTGTTAAATGAATCTTTAAAAAAATTACAATTTCCTGCTATCATTTGAGCGCTGTTGAGTGTGTTTTTAAACAGCGCTGACTTGCCACTAGTAACTTCAAGAGCCGCTGAGCACATTCTTAAACACCGCTGATTAGCCATAGTGTTCACCAGTGCTCAACAGAAATGACTGTGATTGGCCATGAAGGTCATCAGTTCATCCACCGCACTTCAAGTTGTTTACCGAGTGCAAACATAGATGTAGAAGAGCGATCCGCTGATTAATCGACTGATCTTCATGGCTTTGAAACGCTCCAGTGTCTGTGTATCTGTGTTTCCACTCAGTGAAGAGTAGTTAACTGATGACCTCCACAGCCAATCACAGTCATTTCTGTTGAGCACTGGTGAACACTATAGCAAATCAGCGCAGCTTGTTAAAGCGCTCAGCGGCGATTCAATGTTAGCAGGAAATTGACTTTTTAAAACTCCAATACCCTGCTGAAAAATCCAGCTTAAACCAGCCTAGGCTGGTTGGCTGGTTCTAGCTGGTTGACCAGGCTGGTTTTAGAGGGGTTTTGGCCATTTCCAGCCTGGTCTTACCTGGTCAGGCTGGGAGATGACCAGCTAAAACCAGCTTGACCAGCCTAGCCAGGCTGGAAGCCCAGCCAAAACCAGCTATTTCCAGCTTAAACCAGGCTGATCAAGCTGGTTTTAGCTAGATTTAGCTGGGCATTTTCCAGCCTGACCAGCTAAGACCAGGCTGGAAATGGCTGGAAACCAGCCTGGAAATGGCCAAAACCTCTCTAAAACCAGCCAACCAGCCTAGGCTGGTTTAAGCTGGATTTTTCAGCAGGGTACCGGGACAACACTATTAAAGACAACACGAGTGTGTACTATAGAGGACTGCAGTGATTATCACTCACCGTATTACATAGGCTGAAGCAGGAAAGCGTCCCCACGGTGTTTAACTGGTGCCAAGAACTGAAGCCCAGGAGGACACTGAAGCGTATTACTCTTACAGAGATTGTGATGTTGCTTGATGCCTAATAAACTGAACTGACTGATGTTAAAGTGATGTTTACACCATTTCTGCATTTTGAAATCTCAGCAACAGCTGGATGTTTGTAGTCCGCGGCATGTTACTGCAATGTTTACAGTGCTGATCCTATACTTCCGGGTTTCTTCCCACCGTAGTCTCTCTTGCGTGTTTTAAAATGGCGGCTGCGTGAAATAAGTGTATGGGGATCAACCAACTTGCAAATACACTCAGAAATAGATGAGATGAGGTAGCGAACATGCATTACTATAAGCTATAATATCATACACACACGACACATCACTGATGGACATTCAGTCTAATAGTGTGCTGCAAAGAGTGTGTGTGTGTGGGGTGTGTGTGTGTGTGTGTGTGTGTGTGTGTGTGTGTGTGTGTGTGTGTGTGTGTGTGTTTCAGAGAGTCTTCTAGTGGACTGGTTCTTTCTGGTTCATCAGAAGAGCATGTTGGTGCGCAGAGACGCTGAGCTGATGTACATGTGAGTAACACACACTGATCAATTCCTTTATACTTTATTTTTGTACATTTACGGGCATAAAATCACCAAAATGTTCATGGTGTTTGTGTGCATTCATTCACATTTAGCCATTAGCTGATGCTTTTCCCCCAAACCAACTAACAACAGATCCAACAATGGATAGCAAGATTCAGAACTTGTATATTGTTTGTATTGATTGTGCATTTGTATGTGCGTGTGCGTGTGTGTGTGTGTGTGTGTTTGTGTGTACTGTGAGTAATATGTCTATGTGTGTGTGTGTGTTAAGGCTAAAGCAGCAGCGTCTGGAGGATGATCAGGCTGATGTGGAGCTGGAGATCAGACGCCTCCTCAACAAACCAGGTGTGTGTTCTGTGTGTGTGTGTTTCAGTAATCTCATACATACACTCAGATTAATCAGGGCGCATATAAACATCTCCACTCATCACCATGAGCACTGTGAAGTGTGAATATGAATGTTACTCATATAGAAATACTCCTTAAAGTTTGACATTCTCAACTGATAAAACTTTTTCTGTGTCCAAGTCTGATACTGACCAAGCTAATATCACATTGCTGACATTTCTTAAAAAATAAAGACACAATTCTGTGTTATAAACAATAAATAAATCAGAATTCTGAGATTAAAAGTTGCAATTACTAGTTAAAATTTAGACTTCTGCCATAATATGCAATAATTTAATGTTTTATTCAGTGGTGGAAATAACTTTTCATATCTGTGACCTAATGAAAACTGAACTCTACATTCTGTGAATAATTAGCCAAGAGCGTCCTCTACTGGACACACATGTGCACAACAATCCAATATAAAGACCAAAATCACCCTTAAACTCTCTTTAGTTTCAAGTTTATCTCCAGTGTCACTTCAGTCTGATCAGTTTCTCATTGAATAAGACTCGTTTAATGATGCCATTCTGGTTTCTGAGTAAACACATCTTGTTATATGGATGATTATGTATTTATATTGGGAAACATAAACAATTTCCTCTACAGCTGTGTGTTTCCACAGTGCAAATAAATGCTTTACTTAATTTGTTTGTCTTGTTTCTAATCCAAATATCTAAAAACTCTCAAATCAAGAAGCAGTTTCTAAACATTTTCTAATTGTCCTTATTTTTAGTCCCTTATTTATCAGCTGTCAGCACAGCGGAATGAACCACCAACTATTCCAGCCTTTTTTTTATGCAGCGGACACTCTACCAGCTGCAACCCAATACTGGGAATCACCCATACACACTCATTCACACTCATACACTACAGCCAATTTAGTTCAGTTCCCCTATAGCGCATGTGTTTGGACTGTGCGGGAAACCGGAGCACCCGGAGGAAACCCACGGAGAACATGCAAACTCCACACAGAAATGACAACTGACCCAGCTGGGACCAACCTTCTTGCTGTGAGGCCCAGGATTTAATATGAATAATGTAAATGTCATTGCCTCCTTGTCTTGTTTTTATCTGCTGATTGAATGATTAACGCTACTGTTGCTTCTCTTGATTGCCCCTGTTAGACCTTAAAATGAATAAATATGGCAAAAATCCAAATAAACAGTCAATAAGCGCATCAGTCCACCTTTCAATCACTTGAATAGTGTACAGTCAGAAAACTGTGAACTTTACATCATTGAATTCTGACTTCACTTTCAGAAGTGTGAGTTTATATCACAATGTGGACTTTTTAAAGAAATAAAGTCAGAATTCTGTGTTAGAAACAATAACAAAGCCAACATTTGAGATTAAAAGTTGCAATTACGAGTTAAACGACATACAGTGTCATCCTGCAACTGTTTTGCAGCATATGACATGTCCCAAACCCTATTTTAACTGTCCAAAATGGGGGGGGGGGGGTTTAGTTTTCACTCTGATAGTCAAAACAAGTAAAAAAAATAAAATAAAAAATAAGTATATATATATGGACATAATTTTCCTAAAACTACATCATATCAAAATATGATACTATATGATGCTATATGATTCCAATAAGCCCAAATAGCAAAGAGAAATAAAGAATGCATGTAAAACAGATTGGGCCTTAAGAGGTTATTAAAAAAAAGTTATTATTATTAAGTTATTATTGCATTTTATGGCAGAATTGTAACTTCTGTAACATGATATAAAACACACAGTATTTCAAATAGCCACTTAAGAGCTAAAATGTGTTGTTTACTTATGTGGACACTAACGCCCCAGGAGAATAAGATGTAGTAGATAACATTTCATATCTGTGACCTGAAGAAAACTTTATTCTGTGAACACTTAGCCAAGGGCGTCCTCTACTGGACACACATGTGCACAACAATCCAAAATACAGACCAAAATCCCCCTTAAACTCTCTTTAGTTTCAAGTTCATCTCCAGTGTCACTTCAGTCTGATCAGTTTCTCATTTAATAAGACTTGTTTAATGCTGTCATTCTGGTTTCTGAGTAAACACATTGTTATATGGATGACTATGTCATTATATTGGGAAACATAAACAATTTTCTATTGCTGTTTTCACACTGCAAATAAATGCTTTACTTTTACTTTTTGTCTTGTTTCTAGTCCAAATATCTGAAAACTCTTACAAATATAGAACGTGGTGTTGCTGAGGCCAGCAGGAAGTGCTCACCTTCTTAACTTGAGTCCTAATGCCCCAGTGTAGTGAAGGGAACACTATTCTGTCTGTGAGCGCCGTCTTTCAGATGAGACATTAAACTGAGCTCCTGACTCTCTGTGGTCATCAATAATCCCATGGCACTTCTGGTCAGGAGTAGGGGTGTAACCCCGGTGTCCTTGCCAAAGTCCCTCAATCAGCCCTCACCCATCATGACCTCCCAATCACCCCCATCCACTGAATTGGCTCTATCACTGTCTCTCCCCTATACAGTAGCTGGTGTGTGGTGAAGCACTGGCGCTGTTGTCCTGTGGCTGCCGTCGCATCATCTAAGTGGAACTGCACACTGGTGGTGGTGTGGAGAGACCCCCCTCATGATTGTGAAGTGTGGGTGTATGACCATACATGATAAATGCACTATATAAATAAACATTACAGTACAGATATACTATAGTGTTTTAACCATACTGACACTGTGCAACATCTCTATCTCTATTGGAGGTGTCAGTCAGATCAAATGCTGCTAGAATTGGTGTTTATCTATGGGTGATATATACTGCATGATTGAGCTTATGTCCTTGTGTTGTGTGATCAGTGCCGATATTGAACATTGGGACAGGCCTGAATGTGATGGGATGCATTAATGTTGGTTTGCAGCTCTCCATTGTGTCAGACGTGTAATGTTGTTGTGCTGAGTGTAAAAGGCCTCAATCCTCCATCACAGTGCTTCAGTATTATTATTATTCCCTCCAGAACTTTCTTGAGCATCTGTCTGTGCTCCAGTCTCACGCCTCCAGAAGCCGCCACATGCACATGTTTTCTGCAGATATTCCAGTTTGGCTCATGAATCTACTTCTCATGTGTGCAGAGCTGGACTGGACTGAAGAGGACAGAGGTCAGGAGCAGCAGCTGATGTCACGCCTGCTGTCAATCATCCAGCAGAGGAGTGACATCATCAGCAGCCTGGAGCTGGACAGGCAGAGGTCAGAGGTCAGCGGTGGGAGGTCACATGATCATGTGCTGTGATTCTGACAGGTGTGTGTGTTTTCTTCATCAGGGAGCAGGAGGAGGATGAGATGCTGAGCACCGTCATTCAGAGGAGCGGTGAGAAACACACACACACACAGATCCTCACTGTTCTCAGATCATTTCCTATAATACTGTCTGTGTGTGTGTGTGTGTGTGTGTGTGTGTGTGTGTGTGTGTGTGTGTGTGTGTGTGTGTGTGTGTGTGTCTGTGTGTGTGTGTGCGCGTGTGTGTGTGTGTGTGTGTGTGTGTGTGTGTGTGTGTGTGTGTGTGTGTGTGTGTGTGTGTCTGTGTGTGTGTGTGTGTGTGTGTGTGTGTGTATATGTATATGTATCTAGAGCTGCTGACAGACACTCACAGACAACTGCATAACAGCAGACGGAGGTTCAAACAGTTGCAGATCTTCCAGATGTCCAGCAGAAAGAAGAGCAGCAGATGATGAAGGACAGACACAGATGAAGAGCAGCAGATGATGAAGAGCAGCAGCAGAGGAAACGGTGGTTCAACTGAGGCTGAAAACATCACTGAGACTTCACTGTTATTATCTGTGGATGAAGATTAAGCAGAGACACAACACCTCTGCATTACTGGGCTCTCTGATTCTGCTAATCATCTCCATCACTGTTTATAAATGTGTGTGAGCTTCTGCAGTGTGTTTGTGATGATCACACTAGACACGCTTGTCCTCCCTCCGCTCTCCTCCTCGGCCTGCACTCTCTGTATTTCTCCTTCTGGGCTGGAGCACTCTTCCTCATCGATGATGCTCTGTTCAGTTTAACAGTAGAGACGTGTTCTCGCTCAGCACAGTGGACATGGCTGTAGTCATGTTGTTTTCTATTAGTTTATTGGTTTGGGATGCAGTGACTCACAGATCTTCAGCTGAACAGATCCAGCACTGTTGATCATGAATGTTGATGAAGTCCTGGTGCTGCAGGAATTAGGAGGTTCGCTGTGGTGCAGTGAGGGGTTTGTGTCTTTAATAATCTACGACAGTTTGTGTTCATTGAACAGTGAGAATGTCTTCAGTTTCAGGCTCTGCACTCACACTACAAGTTTACCGCAGTAAAACCCAAGTGAACCACGCTCTGGCACACCTCTTCCAACTGGGCCAGGGTCAGCCAAGTGACCCACACCTGAGCTCAATTCAGAGCACTCACACCTGTCAAAGGCATTGGGAAATGCGCCCAGGTATGGTTCAGATAGTCTAGTGTGAGCGCAGCTTTAGTTCACCCAAAACTGAAAACTCTGTCATCATTTGCTCTTGCTTTACTGTTTGTTGTGCTTTACTTTACTAACCTGTTTGAGTTTCTTTCTGTTGAATACAAGAGAAGATACTTTGAGAAATGCTGGATATCTCTAATCATTGACTCCACAGCCTGTGTTTTCCTACTATAGAAGTCAAACTGAAGCTTCCTTCAAAATATTTTCTTTTGTCATCAACAGAAAATTGAAACACTGAGTAAAGTCTGATTTATACTTCTACGTCAAACACCGGTGTATGCTACGGCGCTGACGTAAAGCCCTTCGCCATGGCCGTCGGCCTCGCTGACGTGCACCTCTCAAAAAATGCAACTACACGTCACAACGACGCATAGCGCAAGCTCTGTGATTGGTCGGCTTGGTAGCGCTGACGAGTCTGGGCGGGACCGAGAGCCGTGCGAATGGCGCGAGCGATTGTTTACAAGTGTGGAGTCCCGTGAAGGAGCTCCGGATGGAAAGTTTTGTTTTGTGTTTACCTCATAGTTAAAGTTGTTGCACGTCCGCCGGTTCCTGCCTCAAAGTGAGCGAGTTTGAGGCACTTGTACATCCCCGAAGTGTTCAGGAAAAGCAAAACAGCAGTGAAGAAACTCGACACAGAGGAACATTTACACCTCACTGCCCACTAGCGTTTCGGAAGTGTTAATGCAGACCGACAGAGACAGCGCGCAGAAGTATAAATGCACAGCCACGCGCGTTGCCTGCGCCGTGAGTTACGCCGGTCACCTGACGCAGAAGTATAAATCAGGCTTCAATGTTCATGTTAGTGTGAACTGTCCCTAATGAGAATGTTTACATCTTCATGCAGACCAATCCCTCTCTCAGTTTCAGTTCTGTTCTACACTGTACACAAACACTATCTCTTTAGTTTAACAGGAGTGGTTATCCCATAACTTTGCCTCTTCTGGTGTTTGATGATCACTGTATGTTGATCATGTATGATGATCATGATTGGAGTATGCTGTTGTATTTTACAGTGTCTGGAGCAGCACCTGAGCATTTCCCTCATCATAGTACACATGCTGCTGATGATGATGATGTGACAATAGAAGTGATTTGATTTAATTTTACCAAGTACGATGTTGTAGTTTTCTTTAAGGAGGCTCTCTCGATGGTCAGGAAGTCAAATTCTTACCCAAAGTGTCTTCTAAAGTTTTATTCTTTGCAAAGAAGGTCACACGATCATACATCAACAACAGTTTCTGCAGAGAGAGAGAGAGACGCAGAAACAGAGTCTCTTCTCTTTTTATCTAGTTTTTAATACCCACAAGGTCATCAGTAACATACGGCGTAAATCACAGTTACATCAGTGCTCAAACTTCACTTTTGATCATCTACATTACAGTCTTACCTCCCATCTGAACATGTAGTTTGTTAAATCACCATGTACTAATCCAGATCTTTTCTGGTGATTAGCAGATGTTAAAGTGGTCACACTTGGTCAAACTTAAACAGTACATTTATGGAAGAATAAAAGATCAGACCTTTATAACTAGAACAAATGAGTATATCAAATGAATTTCCTCCACAGATGTGATCCTGGATTAACACCTGTTCTGCACGTCATTGTTGTTGGAAAATGTAATAAAATGACTCCTTCCCCCTAAACCCAACCAGAACTGTACATTATTCCAAAATCAGAGGAGAATAATAGCTGGATAACACTCATGTAGAAGTGTATAAACCTAACCTCAAGCCTAAACTTCACATAAACTGTAAACATATCCCTTAATTCTGATTGGTTGATAGGAATGTTGTGAATAGATGTTCATCCAGGAACAGGTCCTACTTAGTGAAATCAGGTTGTTGATGGTCGGATCATATCTAGTCATAGTAAAATCAGCGTCTGGACAGTGCTTTTACAGTCTAGGGCTCAGAGTCACAGCTCCCTCTGCTACTGGAAATAATCACCTTTTTATGCAAACAGAATACAGAGTTAACATGTAAACAATGTTTGCAATATTTGTATGCAATAAACAAAACATCAATTCTGCATTTCCACTGTCGGGCCAGTGCGAGCCAGGGTTTTTATTGGGCTGGGCCGGGCCAATCGCGCAATCATGCCGCCATTCCATTTAAAAAAAAAAAAAAAAAAATTTTATTAACTTAATGCCACAAGAACGAGAGGTATTACATTTCACATAGTTTCTGAAAAAGAAAAAAAACATATATATATATATATTTGGTTTACATTGAGCCCACTTTTTCTTATCTATATGGCATTTTCCTAACAGCATAAACAAATTAAAAATATATTGTCCTTTACAGTTTAAGTTCTCATTATCAGAGTAAAACAGTACAATAAATAAACCTTATAATATAAGTTATAAAATAAATATTATACTTCATTTTTGTTTTTGTTTTTGTTAAACAATTCCAAATCTTTCCAAAATTTTCTTGAGTACATACAATAAAAAAAAGCAAATTTTTTTCTTTATCTTGACCACAAAATTCACACATATATGAAATATTGAGTTTAAATCTTTCCAAAACATCTTTAGCAGGATAATTCTGTGGAGTATTTTGTACGACACTTCTTTAATTTTGTTATTTCAGCAAAACTTAATTGTCAACTTCCAAGCTTTGGAGTTTGGAACCCAAGAAATATTATCAAATAATGAAAGCTAAAAATGTCTTGCTGTAGGTAGAGCCAACGAACAGAGAGCATTCTTTATAACATTATTGTTACATTGTTGTTTTAATACATCAATATTTTCAATGAAAATGTTTTCACAAGGATGACCTATGTAGATCCCTTCTGAAATATCGTATTTTAAAAGCAAGACCACAACCTTTAGAATTGCATCCAAAACAATAGCAAATTCTCTCCGTTTAACTGATCATTTAAATTTTTTAAGAAATTCAGATAAAAAATATCCCAGAGGGTTAATTAACCAGCTCACTAACAGAATATCATTACTGGACCAATTCTGATTAAATGAAGATTTGTTGTTAAAAAAAAAAAAAAAAAAAAAGCATCCTTGTTATTCCATATGAAGTAATTGTTGGGTGAAAAATTGTGTTTATATATCAATTTCCATGATATACTGGTGTAAGATTCCAAAATATCAGACCCTAATAACTCTTATGAATTTTGATGAGACAAGATGCAATACTCCAATGGACTTTCTAATCTGAGAAGTGATGAAGAAACCAACTGTTCCACTCTTCTATTCAAATCACTGTTGACAATGCAAACACAGGCTGGAGAAACAGAGCTACTCAACAGCAGGGGGTAATGAGAGAAAGTCAGTCTTCTTCTTTCACCTGAAGCCCCCTTCTTGAACCTTATGTCACCTTCTGATCAGAGCAAATCATTTACATTTTTACTTAAAATGTCCAAGGTTTAACATGGTGTATTTTGCAGCACTATATTCATGTTTGTTATCATTTTAAATGTCTCTGTGTGATTGGTAAAGTGGTCTTAATTTTACAGTAATATTTCACTGGTATATGTTGATTTGGTTTTTGACTTTGATAAGATCTTTGCCAGATGCCCCCCTCCTAAGAGATGGTTAAGTCCTCAAATTGACCAGGCCAGGGTTTCTGTGACACTTCTATTGTCTTGAATTTATGGCTGTTTGTTTTGACTTGAGTATATAAAGGTAAGATGTGGTGTGGGGGAGGGGGGGAGATCTTGTAAAAAGACACCCCATTGCAGCATCTCTGAGACTTATGCTGCAATTTATCTTTGATTGATGGATGTTATATTGTTAGTCTCATCTCTGAATTGGCTTCCTGATGATTATTTATGTAATTGGCAGAATACAATTTTACCTGAAAAATAAAATGTTAAGTTTTGATTAATTCTGGAGTTTTGCAAATTCATTGTATCCAGTAGATTATGAGGAGTCTTCGCTACACAAAATTTAATTGATTAATAGGCACATTTGATTATACGTAGCCGTTGTGAGCCGATAACATGTAGATCTTTTAATCATTTAACCACTGGAAGTAGCAAGTTGTATGGGCTTGGCTAAGGACCTGTTTTTTTAAGACTAGGTAAGCGTTAATGCGACCAGCTTATTTAAATATAGTTAATCCTGCATCCTCTGACTATTTTCGAGTGTCGACATATTGTCCGTGAGAAGAAGCGCAAACCCGGGGCGTGGAACTCTGAGCGATGTTGGTCCCTAATGAACGTACAATTAGATTATCGGACCTCAGAAAATATCAAAACTCTAAATTATGATGAATGTGATCCGTTCTTACAATTAGAAATACAATCTAAATTTTAGGATCATTTAAATTGGAGTCAGATTGAATTCGGAGCTAAAAAACTAATATAAATAAATTCTACTAAATAATAAAATCATTTTCAGAAGCACTAGAAAAGGCTTACAGGCATTAAACCTTCGACCATGCTGTTAGTTTCATCATTGGGCTAATAGATGGACTCCTACATAAGTTTCAATCGCCCCTCACTGTTTCTGAACTGTGCGCAGTTGCTGTACTTACACTTACTTGCAACATAGTAAAATTACTTACAGAGACCAAGCAAATCCTTATAGAGAGTCAATAAATACAAGATCTGGAAGTGCAAAGTTTCAGCCACTGGCTTGAAAGATAATGCAAGCTAAAAAGAATTAAGTTGGGGTTAAACTTTTATTCCTTCATTTTTGTAAGTCCATTTAGATAAAAACATCTGCTTAATGAATTCATTAGTAAATGCTTAATTATTGAGCACACTGAATCTGTCACAGCAAATGACTCAAACAAGAAAAGTTGGCCTTTATTGCATTTACTCGAGTTTATTGAGATGTTTTCAGCCAGAAAGAGGTACAAGCATACAATAATCCAGCATCATAGATCTTCAAGCTGCTTCTGCCACTGCATGCTGCTGTTTGCTTGCGTTTAGGAATTGCTTAACATTTGTGATGAGATTGATGAATGGGCATATTGCTGCGGCTGATGTCCCTTTCTAAAAAAAAAAAAAAAAAAACAGTTGCTATTAAACATGATTTGTTTATAACCTAATACCAGATCTGCCTGAACCGGCATGATTCATGTTGATTTTATGATATTGCAGAGATCACCACCACCAGGGAATTTTTATTTTTAACATTTTAAAACAGTCATGATGTAACAAAGCCTCGCTTACTAAAACTGTGTGACATTGGTCATTTGATAAGAGCTTTAGAAATAATGATTTAAAACAAAAGATTTTGTAAGGGTTTCAAAGCCATCACTAACATACAGTAGTCGACCTTTGAAGAGGATCGATAAGATTTTAAAAGTGTCCTAAAGCAAGAA